ACTTCATTTCTCAAAGTTGTCTTACTTTAAGAAATGGCCGCAGCCCCCCAGCCTTGGGGCGCCCCCACCCTGATCAGCCGGCAGCCGCCACAGGAAACAGGACCCCCCCACCTGGAGAGAGGTTACGAATCGCTGGGTGCTCAGAGCATGGTGAGCACTTTTTAGCAATATAACATTTTAAATTAAGATATTTGCACTATGGCCTTAGAGATAAAGCTGTTGCACACTTAATAGACTTAAGTACCATGTAAACGTGACCTTTACCTGCGCTGGGAACCAGCCATTCACCTGTTGCTCCATTGGGGTGTTGGCTGTACCGTGGTGGCCTGGAAGCGAGTGTTTCTGAGGCCTGCCTGGAGGCGTCAGCAGAGGGAGGCTGAGGGACTGAGCCTGGAGTGATCGGTGTGTGGGAGTCGCGGGGAAGCGCGTCACTGCTGTCCCACCAGAGGGATCAGGGTCGCTGGGTGTACAGTGTGCAGGCCAAGCGGGTTGGGGTGCCCTATTTTTGTTGAGACATTCGGCATTAAAAAAGGGGATGTGAGACTTACGGCCTATGGGGAAGAGAGGATTTGTTTTTTAAAGGGATGAGGAAATTCAAACAAAGAGGAAGAGGATGAAATAATAGCTGACATGTCTCAGGACTGACTTCTCGTCAGGCCAGATGCTGAGGACTTCACACCCGGGCTCACCCTACTCGCAGGGCAGCTCCGGACGGCGGGTCTGCGCCCCACACATGCCCGGCGTCGCACAGGGAGCGCACAGCCGTCTGGATTTCGGTTTCCACTCTGAATCTGACCGTCATGCCCATCATTTCCCGGGAGAGAAGCAGAAACTGCAGGAGCCAAAGGGACTGTTTGGTGGCTGAGATCTGAGGGGCGAGGCCGCTGCTGCGGGGAGGGGCTGTGGCCTCAGTGAACAAGCTCCACCGACAGGGACCGCGTCTCATCAGCATGTTGGGGTCATGGCGATGCAGCTGACCCAGGATGGGAGCAGTTTATGTCTGGAGTGCGGTGTGCGGCGCAGACCCGCCCTCCTGGCATGTGGTGTGGGGCACAGACCCACCCTCCTGGCATGTGGTGTGGGGCGCAGACCCGCCCTCCTGGCATGTGGTGTGGGGCACGGACCCACCCTCCTGGCATGTGGTGTGGGGCGCAGACCCGCCCTCCTGACGGTGGTGTGGGGCGCAGACCCACCCTCCTGGCATGTGGTGTGGGGCGCAGACCCGCCGTCCTGCGCGGCTGGCTCACCCAGGCTCTCCGAACCGCCCCCCTTTGTCGTCCAGGTGCTCAGACTGCCCGGTGGCTGGGGATCAGCTCAAGCTCTGCGTGTCCCGAGCTGTCTGGCGCCAGCGCGCTCCACGTTGAGCTCTGCCTCCCCGCCCTTCTCTGCCGTGTCCTGTACACAATCCCTAAGTGGAAGTTCACCGAACATTTCCGGGGCTCAGGGAGGGGAGGTCAGCTGCTAGGCTCAGTGATTCTAACCCCTCCGTCCACTCCTGGGGTTACAGGCAGCCATTGATCCACCATTCACTCCATTTATTCATTCATCCACCAGGCATTTATTCCTGTTTATGCTGCCATGGGCCTGTTATGAGTGCTGAGAATATTCAGATTAAAAGACAAACATCCCTGGGGGCAGGGATGGTAATTGAAGAGCAGGTGGAGCCAAGAAAGGATTTAATAGTCTTACAAGGTGTTTCCCGGCTGAGGAGTAAGAACAATAAAAAGGGGAGAGTGAGGCGCGGGGAGGAGGCCCCTGAGGGCCCGGCGGGGGAGGGAGTGCGTCCTGGCCCAGGGCAGCAGGAGGAGAGCCGCCCCTCGGGCAGGGGGTGCTGTCAACTGGGGTGCCGGAGCTCCCTGGGCACGGGGCCACCCCAGAAGGGGTCCCACCCGACCTGGCTTCCTGTGCCACCCGGAGGGTGTCAAGGTGCCTAACGGGCAGGAGGCCCTGTCACACAGTTCTGTGACTTCTTTCCACCAGCACTTAGTCATCAAAACACCCTTGTGCCCCCTGGCGAAGCCCCTTTGGCCATCTCTCCTAGTCTGCAAACCAGAAGGACATTTGTTCTGTGGGAACTAAGACCCTCGGGCCTGGGCCGGCCCGTCCTGACTCTTGGAGGGTTTGGGACGTGGGTCCCACCTGCGTGGCTGGGAGGCAGCTGGGGTGCCCGCCGGACAGCCCCGGGGGAGGGTCAGGATCCGGGCCACCCAGAACCCCCGCCCCTGCCCGAGGTTTCAGCTAGCGAGGCCTTCCTAGTTCTGTCACACTGTCGCTGAGGCTCTTGCTGGCAGGTAACAGACAATCTGCTTCCAGCAGACAAGGGTTCTGTCAGAAGGGTGTCGGGAGCTCGTGGTTCTGAAGGGCTGGACTAAGAGGCCTGCAGCTGAGCCGGCCAGGAGCAGGGCCCCCTTCCCTCCACAGAGACAGCCAGGACGAGAGAGCACAGCTGCTGGCCGGGGCCCAGAGTTGCTGGTGTGCCCACTGACCCGCCGTGGTCCCCAGAAGCTCCATGTCTGCTGTCCCCGGGCCTGGCATTTGCCCCCCAGCCACCCCCCCGCCTGACCTGGCTTCCTGCGCCACCCGGGGTGCATGGTGCATTGACAAGGCCTAGCTTGGGCAGGATCTGAACTTCACGGGCGACCAGGAAGCGGCGTCTGTTTTGTGTGCTGGAGTGTGTGCGGGTTCTGAGGGGACTGAAACGTGAGGCCAGGAAGAGCGGCCGCTGCCCATTAGAGCTGGAATGCAGGAGGGACTCGCTCAGCCCTCCGTGCCGGGGGACGTCTCAGGTCCCCGGATGCTGAGTTTCTCTGTCGTCCTATAGGTCTGTTGAGATTCTCTGACTCTCTGCACTTGGAGGACGCTCCCAGGAATTGTTTGTGGAATAAATGAATAAAGCGTCCGCTGGGTGTATTCGTCCAGCACTGGGCACATTCTGTGTGCCAAACCCGGTGTTGAACACGGTTTGCAGAGCCAGGAATACCTTTTACGCAGGATAGGAAGCCTCAGGAACGAGAGCAGAGACCCACGCAAGACTCAAAAGGTGAGGGTTGGGATGGAGAGTGAAGAAGCCTTGCTTAGATGCAAAGCAGGCTGAGTCTGACTGGCCTCCCAGGGTGAGCCTGGGGGTGTGGGATGGAGACCCCGGCAGGGGAGGGAGCAGGCCAGGCACAGTCGCCTGATGGGAAGGTGGGAAATATGCCCCTGGGGCTCCCCTAGCTCTCACCAACTGGACTCGGCATCTGTAGGCAAGGTGCTCGTTCATTTTTAGGGGAGTGGTAGCACCTGCTGGCTTTTCACTGTGTGTCTTGCCAGTGGGTTTCAGCCCCGGGCAGGTTCGCTATGGATTCAGTGTGACCAAAGAAATTGACAGCAGATTGTTCTTAGGGGTGAAAGGGTTTATTACCCCAGGCAGTAGGTCAAGCACTGGCATCTCTAACTCCGCCCAGAGCATTGGGCCGGGCTCTCTATATAGCGCAATAGCTTATTGCCTAAAGGTGTGGAAGCGGTAGCCTAGCAACAGGCCAGTTACATCATCAGGTGGTTTAAGTTCAGTGAGGGAGCCTCGCCATAGGAACCCCAACTTCCCCACACTGTGAAAGGGTCAACTTGTAACAAGCAATTCAGTGTGTCGTATTAAGGTCTTAGAACAGTGACATGTTATGAGTGTTGTATAATCATCCATTGAATAAATACAAGCAGAGCAGTATTTGTTTCTGATACTTCCACAAAATAAGGTAGGAATTCCAGCTGGACTCAATTTTAGGCAAATACTAGGTGGTTTTTTTCACCTTTTGACCTGAGGCCATATCCACACAGCAGCATCTACTTTATTCATTAAGATGCTCTCCGTGGTCTGGGCGGCTCGGCCCCACCTCTGTGCCTCCTCGGTTGGCAAATCACGGATGGTGGGTGCTGCCTCAGCAAAGAGGCCCGAGGGCCTGACCCACTGCATTAGCAAGGTCCCAACCCCATAATTCGTCTCTATTTTGTTTAAAAAAAAATGTTTTTAATCCCACCTCTTCAGTTGTCTTCAGGGGGAGAATTGGTCTGGTTAGCTTAGCTTTAGGTGATGATCAGAAATAGAAATTCTAGTTTAGGTTCTTTAAATCACATGATCCTCATGAGAACCTAAAAAGGAAGCGAGTGAGGTCTTGTCCACTGTACAGATGAGGAAAATGAGGCTCAGGGGCTGTGTTTCCTGCCAAGGGTCATGACACTGGAACTTGAACACAGGCGGGCGAGCTTCAGCACCTGTGTGCGTCCCCCTCGTGTCCACCCCCCTTCTTGGCATCAGAAAGCAGTTATCTGTAAAGCCTTCTTTTGAAAGGTCAAACAAGTCTCTACTTTTACATGCTTCCCTGACACAGCTTGGCAAAAGCGTAACCGGGTAGACTTTAATATCAATAAAAGCAGTGTATTCGGTGTCCTTTTAAAAGGCCATGTAACATGGACAGATTAGCATTAGTTAATCAGTTTGCTGTTTTTGTAGATTTATGTGTTTACAGCTTCACGACCTCAAACTTGCAGAGAGCAAAGTTCTTTCATTTTTGCCAGAAATGTTTTGTTGTTTTACAGAATTTGGTCAAAGTGTACGGAGATGAAACATACACACCCAAAACGGAACAATTTGACTAACTGGTATGTCCAAAATGCCAGAGGACACAAAAGACTACACTCATGTGCAGGCCCTGTTGTAAGCTGAAAAAAAAAAAGAAAAAGTCCTTGGGATTGTGCCAAAGCCACAGATTCTAATGCACTTAATACGGCCCCAAACCCATGGGGACAGCCAAGGGCCTTCCAGAGCGCTAAGGGGGTGCAGGAATTTGCCAGAAACCACACCCCCCGTTACCGTCACCGGAGCTCTTTCCTTGCTTCTGTGCTGTTTCGAGCAGATGTGCCTCGATCAGATTCAAACTGGTTTTGTTTTATTCTTAAAAAAGACCTTCTCTGCCCTTGGTAAAACGAAAAGGCCTAACATATTTCCCAACTTCCTTTGCCAGAGGAAAAGACAAGCGTATGAGTCCAACCTCATCTGCGGCGGCCTGCAGCTGGAAGCAACGCGGTCGGTACGTACGGCCGCCTGCCCTGCCCCCGGCTCAGGGCCGCCCCTGGACCCGCGCCCGCGGAATGCGAGGTCGGCGTTTGATGCGTGCAGCGTGTGCTCGTTCGCTGCAGGCCGCAGCGCAGTCAGCCAGAACCTGCCTTCGGGAACGTGTGTTTGCTTCTGATCCAAGCCAGCAGATCTTATTTCCCCGCCAAAGAATGGGATTCTGAATGCATGTATAAATGATTGTTTTCTTTTAAGAACCTTCTGAAAGGTTTTTTATTATACAAATAATAGTTTGACCCAAAATTAGAAAATGTGAGTAGTGAAAATAAACATCACCTGTGTTTTAATTGTCCATAAATAATTGGCTGAACTTTTTTATTGCTCAAATACATACATTTTTCCCTTTCAAATAGGGGAGTTTTATTTCACAGTTTTATAATTTGCTCCTGCCCCCGCGATAGAAAGTAAATGTGTTTGTTTCAATACATTATTCAGTATCTTCCTTTAATGGCCATAAAACTGGACACTGAACAGATATATAATAAATTAAACAGTCCTCTTCTAGGTTTAAGAAATTTAAAATAATCATTATAATTACAATGCTGCAGTGAATATCTGTTTTTATTTTTAGTCACTAATTTGGATGGAATGGTGAGCCAAATAACAAGTTTGCTTTTTTTCATTTAAAATACTAGTCATTCTATGAAATAATTATGATAAGGAGTTTACTTTCTCCATGATTTGAACCAAGAAGTGATCTTTAAGGTGACATTGATGATGGTTTGCAAATCTGTTTTTCTTATATCCTCACTTTGGCCACTTGTGCGTGTGTGCATGTGTGTGTGCGTGTGTGTTTGCTTCAACTACCAGCAACTTAAGAAAAACCCATGTGCTTTAAATAGTAAGAATGGTTGCTTCAGTTTCCTGGTTCATGTTTTTTCTCCCAATGCAGATTTTGGACGACAAGCTTGTGTTTGTGAAAGTACATGCCCCGTGGGAGGTGCTAAGTACCTACGCTGAGATCATGCACATCAAATTGCCTCTGAAACCCAATGATCTGAAAACCCAGTCCTCAGCCTTCGGCAACTTCAACTGGTTCACCAGAGTCCTCCGAGTGGATGAAAGCCTCATCAAGCCCGAGCAGGAGTTTTTCACTGCCCCGTTTGAGAAGAGCCGGATGAATGACTTCTATATCCACGATAGAGATACTTTCTTTAACCCAGCCACCAGGAGCCGCATTGTAAGTCTAAACCAAGTTCCACTGCTGTCTTGGGACCTGCTGTTGAATAATTAGCAGTTTGATTTGGTTGGTTTAGTTTTGTTTTTAAAAGCTGCCCAAAAAACAGAAACGAAAAGCAAGATGCCTACAGAACAGCAGGAAACAGTGATTGCTTTCACTGTATGAACCACACTTTCTGTTTTGGAATCTTTTTAGGTTTACTTCATCCTCTCCAGGATCATGTATCAAGTAAGGAACAATGTCAAAAAGTTTGGGATTAACAAGCTCGTAAGCTCCGGGATCTACAAAGCAGCCTTCCCTCTCCACGATGTAAGTCAAATGGCAAAAATGAAACAATACACCTCATGTACACTCCAGTGTTAATAAGGAAGGGCGCATCGTTGTGACCTTAAGTTTCTTCTTTGGTAAAATGCAGGTAGTTTGTTGCAAGATTGCAGGCTCATTTGGAGCAGGAGCCAGGGTTTGAGTCACCACTGCTGAATCCCCCAGGCATGAAGAAGGCCCCCAGTTGAAAGGAGTTAATGCAGGAACAGTAGTTCTGCCCCTTCTAGCTGGACAACCTTGGCAAAGTCGCTGAGCCCTTCTGTTCCACAGTTCCCCCATCAGTAAGGGGAGGATAGTGGTAGCACCTATCTCATGGAGTTGTCATGAGGGTTAAATTAATCCATGTCAGGTGTTAGAACAGCCCCTGGCATATAATAATAGTATAATAACCATATGAGTATTAGATATTTTCATAATTAACTGACAGATTATTATCAACCAAAAAAGTATTTGTTCTTTATAAGCACAACTTATACTTACTAGACCTTTACATTTATCATTTTCTGTAACACAGACTTTTTTCCTGCTGAAATTCCATTTTCAAACTGCCCTTGAATATCACAGAGCCTCTAAAAAGGCATCTGTTGGAGTTCCCGGCGTGATGGCAGTACCGGGGAGTGTTGACATTTTTATGGACTGTGTTCTGAGACAACAGTGGCTCCTCAAATTCAAGAGCACCTGTCCAGCCCATAAATGCTCTCATGAAATGAAAATTCAAAAGTGCAACTGCTGCAGACCCTTAATGATTCCATAAATGCAGGGTTATTGTGTCTAAGCTCTTTAAATAAATTCTGTCATTGACATAAATCCAATACTGTATTACATGGCAGTTACTTTGTTACACTTACTATCAGTGTATCAGAATCTCTGAGATCAAAGCACAGGGAGTCTGATAGTTGCTACTGTGTAGCACATGTATCTGTGGTTGGAAACCATGTTGAAAGGTAGTGTGTAAGATAATAAAACTAGGGCACAAACAGCTACTTGATGCCCACGTGTGGAGAGCAGGGGGCTGGGTGGAGAAGCAGGCTCAGAGCTTCTGGCCCAGCGGTCCACCGTGGCAGTCTAGCTGGACTGTCCGTATGTTTTGTATTTGTGCCCCAACAGAATTAGTGAATATAGCATGACGTGTATGCTGGGGACGTTTGCAAACCGTTGCCGTGAAGGTGAACCTGGGATGCCAAGGTGCTATGGTATTCAGTTAGCATGGGCCATGCCCAGCTCTTCTCCACAAAAGCCTTTTATAGTTGAGTGGGTCACATCCAGGGTGGGGACTGGCCTCATGTGGCATGTGGCGGGCAGGGGAGGGAAGGCTGGCCGCTCCTAGGACAGGAGGCGGGAGGGGTCAGACGGGAAGCAGAGCAACAATCCGATCAGGGGCAGCAAGATTCTTTCCTGAATAAGCTAAGTGTGTAACATGATGTCAAGCTTTATTGTTGTTGTTTATATTCTACGTGTTCTCACAGAATAACTGCTGAACTGGGGTCAGAGAAGCCCAGGTTTTAGAACTGACCTTGTCAGTCACCAACTGCTCGCTGGTCCCCAGGTGCCCAGGTTGGGGGCTGGGCTGTCAACTGTTCCTCCACTGGGCCAGTTGGCACTTGACCAGCCCGGCACTTGACCAGCCCAGTTTCCATTAGGTAGGATGGGCCCACTTATGGGTCGTTAGGCACCTCAAGGGCTCCCACCAAGTACCTATGGGGTTCCCCAGGGTTGTAACAGCCAAGTGTTCCTCCTCACGCACATTCACAAGTGGTCCTACAGGGTTAGTAATGCCTCCATTATGAATCCCCAAAGATTAGAGGGTTTGCCCCTCCCTTCCAGCAAATGAGAGGGCCTTATTCCCATACACAAGCCCGTGACGTGTCACGCCCCGGCAGAGAGGTCTGGGAGCATGCAGTTGTCATGCTCACCTGCCTGCTTCCGCCTCACAGTGCAACTTCAGCCGCCAGGCAGAGGACCTCAGCTGCCCCAACGAGCGGTACCTTCTGTACAGGGAATGGGCGCATCCGCGAAGCATATACAAAAAGCAGCCCTTGGATCTCATCAGGTGAGGTGTACAGGGGACTCCAGTGGGAAGGACCCGGGGCTGCCTGTGGCACCTGAGTGTGACAATATGCAAGGGGTATTGCCAGCCAGGGAAGCTCACCCGGCCTTCCAGCTTCCTTGCCTTGAGTTTTATTGAGGCTCCACTGATCTACTACCCATGGGGTCACTCTGCAGCCCCTTCCTCTCCCAATACCATATGGCTCAAAGTCCCAGCCTCTAATCACATGTTGGTCTCAATGGAATAAAAGTGAAGTTCCCTTATATGAGATAGAGAATCAACATATAAAAACAATAACTATGACAAACATCGGACTGAATGATGGAATATCAAAAGCTTTTCCAAGGACACTGGGGAAATGAAGATGTCAGCTAGCGTATTTATTCCATGTTGAGTTATAGTTCCTCACCAATGCAACAAGATAGGAAAAAGTACTAAAGGCATGAGCATTGGAAAGAAAGTGAGGAAACAATCAGAGCAACCCAAAGTGGGCCAGCTCTCACTCCTGTTGCCTGATCCACGTTGGCATCAGCCCTTCCTTTTCCCTGGGGATGCGCCCCTGGAGCTGGGCCAGTCCAGGGATGTTCTTCCAACGACTCCCACATGTTCCAGAGCTAGGTGCCCACTAGGCAAGCTCATGGAGCACAGCCCAGCTCCACGTGGAGATGAAGGTCTCATGGGGGCCTCGGGGCTACGTAAGTCTAGTCTGAGCCTGAAGTGAGCTGGTCTAGGAAGGGATCAGTGATGCCAAGTCCCCCAAACAGTCATCTCATAGGATTTCCCCATCCTTAAAGCCTGCCTTTCTGCCTGGCTGTGTCTGCCTCCCTCTCAGGAATAATCTGGTACTGGCACACCCCCTGCCTCCCGTCTTCCAACCCATCTGCCCAGCCCCATCCACCTTACCCCAGAGCCTGCACTATTCACTTTTGAAACGTGAGAAATAGAAGCCCTAGTTGTAAAGAATACAGGGCAGTGGGTCCCTGAGTCCCATCCATCCTGCCCCCTAGTCTCATGAAGAGTCTACAAATACTCTAGTCAGAGAGACATTCCACTGCGAATTAGTATTATTAGTCATTTTCTTCTTATTATTTGTGATTTTTTTCCCATTTGCTCTGAGGAAGTCCCCTAGATCAGCAAAAGCAGGGAACAGCGTGGCGTTCGCCTGTTCCATGCCCGGTGGGAGTGACCTTCTGGAGCCTGTGCAGTGCGCTGTCCTCACAGCGGGGATGACGACACCCCCTGCTCCGCCTTCCCCTCCTTTGCTGTCTTCTCATTTACTTCTTCCAATCGGCTGATGGTGATCAGTGCTTCTCAGACGTGTGAAATACTTGTTTCATTGTGGAATTTGAGGCCTGCTAGGAAAATGAATACGTTTTAAGATGCATTAAGTCAGAAGTTTAAGCTTAAAGCCTCCTTTACTGAAAATCAGAAGTTAAATGTTCAGATGAAGTTGCAGAGTGATTATATGAGTCTTCTAAAGATAATCTGTCCTTTTCAGGAAATACTATGGAGAGAAGATTGGGATCTACTTTGCCTGGCTTGGGTATTACACTCAGATGCTCCTCCTGGCCGCCGTGGTGGGGGTGGCTTGCTTCCTCTATGGATACCTCAATCAGAACTGTACATGGAGGTAACCGCAGTTTATTCCTTGTACCGTGCTGGGGAGGGGATCAGACGTGACATTATTGTCAGGGTTTCAGGCTGCCTGGGTAACAGAAGACCCCGCACAGAGCACTTGCTGGGTGACAGACCCCTTGTCCTGAGCATAGTAATGAGGTGAACCGGAAGATTCTTCGTTAGGAAATGCAGCCCAGTCTCTGACAGGATCATTACCCTTAGGAAAGAAAAGAAGGTCTAGGGTCGTCCTTGAACCTCTGGCCCCCAGAGAAATGCTCCACTCAGCTCTACAGATGTGTGGACCAAGAACAGTTCTAATTTTTCAGGGTTTTTTCAATGGCAAATCCAGTAAAACTGGTATCTTTATGCTTTCAGAAAGGACTTCTTAATATGTATTAAGAAATGCATGTCTAAAAACTCAAGTAAACATTGCCTTTAAGAAAGCAGCCCTAACAGTGTTAGGGGAGAGACTAGCAATGAAGAATCAGTTTGTGCTTGAGGTTGCACCATCCTAAAGGAGATGCATGGGCTCAGAGCGCTGGATTTCACCATCAGTCTTCTGAAGCGTGTGATCTCTCCACCTTGGTGGCCTCACCTTGCAGAAGAGACGCAGACCAAACCAGGCACTTGCTCTTGTTCAGCTGGCCTCTATCTGCACGTGGCAGGCGGATCGACATTCCAGCGCCGGGGATGCGCTAGCCAGTGACCAAATGTTTCCAGCCCCGAGCTTCCCAGCCTGGCTCCCTGGCCGCGCGGACAGATGGGCCGATCTCGTGTCTGTGTGCCCGAGGGTCTGGGACTGCACCACCAGGACTTCCTCCCAGGAAGCTGCTAGTTGGTCTTTGAAGTTCTCTCCTCTCTTACCTAAAAGAGTTGAGGGCCAAAGGCTGACTGTTCCTACCTCTCACCTAAATTTGCTTTTGACTTCTCCAGTCTTTTGTACATTGTCCAAAAGAAAAGCATCTCAAAAGTTCCCTTACAAAGAGCAGAGGAGCGTTGGCATAAGATCCTTGACCAGTGGTCCTTTTCCTTACAATGCATTTTATACAATCACTGTGACAGTCACGCCACATACTTCCTCCTGACGCACACAGATTAAAGCGTGGGTAACTGGGGAGGATCTTGGGGACACAACCTGTGCTCAGAACTCCTTGGGCTTTAATTATTTAATTGTTAAATATTCTAAAAATGTATGCATTTGAAACATTTTTGGTTGATTTTATTACATACTGAGGTTCACAAGAATAGAAAATATATTTAAGGTGTAAGGAGTAATGATCCATTGCCCAGTTTAAGACAAAGGGCATTGGTGCCTGTGAAGTGCACCCCCTCACTTCCCACTTCGGAAATAACAACTGTACCAGATTTGGGTGTTTATCATTCCTTCACATTTACTCTATGTTCTTTAGCATGTATATTTGTGTATATGTGACATAATTGTCTATCAAAATACATTTCATTTTGTGTGCTGTTGAAAATGTGTAGGCATAAGTGGAGGGTACTATGGGCATTTCCTCTTCTATAAAAGGCCTATTCGAAGCTCATGCCCACCCCCCACCTTTAAAAATAACAGCTTTATGGGAATATAATTCACATACCATAAAATGCACCCTTTGAAGTTGTATAATTCAGTGATTTTAAGTATATTCACATCACCACTTAGAACATTTTCACCCCCAAGACACTGCTACTCATCAGCACTGGCGCCCTAACCCTAAGCCCTTGGCAACCGGAAATCTCCTTCCTGTTCCTATGGGTTTGCTGATTCTGGACATTTCATCTAAGCGGAACCATGCAGTATGTGTGACCTTTTGTGACTGTCTTCTCTTACTCAGTACGATGTTGTCAAGGTCCATCCCTGTTGTGCCATGTGCCAGTCCCTCCCCTTTCGTGGCCAAATATGCCACCTTACAGCTACACACGTTAATCCACTCCTCAGTCGATATTTGGGTGGTTTCCACTGTTTGGCTATTAGGAATAATTCTGCTATGAACATGTGTATACACGTTTTTGTGTGGACATATGTTTTCAGTTCTCTTGAGAATATATTAAAAAATGGAATTGCTTGGCTATGTGATAACTCTACATTTAACATTTTGAGGAACTGCCAAAATATTTTCCAAAGTGACTGCACCATCTTACACTCCCAGTAGCAATATATGAGGAGTCCAGTCTCTCCACATCCTTATCAACACTTGGTATTACTGGGTTTAAATATATGTGTATATATATAAACCGTCCTCATGGGTATGAAGTGGTATGTTTAGTGGTTTAGTTTGTAGCCAACTGGTGTTGAGCATCTTTTCAGGTGTATATTTGCCTTTTGTATATCTTTGGAGAAGCATCTCTTCAAATCTTTAGTCCACTTTAATTGTGTTCCTTGTCCTTTTATTGTCAAATTTTAAGTGTTCTCTTTATATTTTGGATAAAGCCCCTCATTGGATATATTGCAAATATTTTCTCCCATTCTACAATTGTCTTCTCACTTTTTTTTCATGGTGTCCTTTGAAGCACAAAAGTTTTTAATTTTAATGAAGTTCAGATTACCTGATTTTTAAATTTGTAGTTCTGATCTCATATATTAGAAAGCATTTGTATTGAGAGTCATGAAGATTTTTCTCAATGTTTATCTTCGAAGAGTTTTATAGTTTTAGGTCTGTGATTCATTCTGAGTTAATTTATAAATGGTTATGAGGTAAGGGTTCAACTTTATTTTTTCCAGGTTTAGAGTCAGGTGTCCCAGCACATTTTTTATTTTCCTATTGGACTTTCTGGACACTCTTGTCAAAAATCAATTTGCCATAGTGTAAGAGCTTGTTTTTGGACTCTCAGTTCTTTTCCATTGATTATAGATCTGCCCTTTATGCAAGGATTACACTGTACTAATTACTGTAGCTTTGTTAGTAAGCTTTGAAATTGGAAACTTCAAAACTTTGTTCTTTTTCAAGATAGTTTTGGTTATTCTGAGTCCCTTGCCTTTCCATATTAATTTTAAGGTCAGCCTCTCCATTTCTGCAAAAAAAAGCCAGAGTCTGTAGGTCAGTTTGAGGACTAATGACATCTTAACAATATTAAGGCTTCCAGTCCATAAACATAGAATGTCTTTCTATTTATATCATTTTTAATTTCTATCAACAATATTTTGTAAGTGTTCAGTATACAAGTTTCAACTTCTAGTCTCAAATTTATTCTTAGTATTTTATTATTTTGATACTATTATAAATGAAATTGTATCCTTCATTTTTGGATTATTCACTACTAGTGTATAGAAATATAGTATATAGTTGCTTTTTGTATATTGATTTGGTGTCTTATAACCTTGACGGGTTTCCTTATTAATTCTAATAGCTTCTTGGCAGAGTGCTTAGGATTTTAATATACATATCATGTCATCTGGAATATAATAGTTTTTTACTTATTCCTTTCCAGTCTGGAGGCTTTTAGTTTATTTTCCTTGTCTAGTTGCCCTGACTAGAACCTCTAGGACAATGTTGATCTTAGGAGAAAAACATTCAGTCTTTCACCATTAAGTCTGGTGCTTGTTGTAGAATTTTCATCAATGTTCTTTATCAAGGTGAGGAAGTTCTCCTGTATTCCTAGTTTTTTTATCCATTATTCTATTAATATGATTTATTACATGCACTTGTATGTTGAACTATCCTTGCCTTCCTGGATACATCCTACTTAATCATGATCCTTTTTATGTTAGTGGATTTGATTTGCTAGCATTTACTGAGGATTTTTGCATTTATATTCGTAAGAGATACTGGTCTGTTTTCTGTGATGTCTTTGCCTGGTTTTGGTATCAGTATAACACTGGTCTTGTAGAATGAGTTGGGAAGTGTTCTCACCCCTTTATTTTTAGAAGAGTTTGTGGAATATTGCTTTTAATCCTTTAAATGTTTGATAGTATTCACCAGTAAAGCCATCTGGACCTAAGAATTTCTTCATGGGGAGTTTTTTTTATTACTAATTCAGTCTCTTTACTTTTCAAAGGTCTATTCAGGTTTTCTCTTCTAGAGTCAACTTTAGTCATTTATGTCCTTCTAGAAATTTATCCATTTCATCTAGATTGTCTAATTTGTTGACATAGTTATTCATACTATTCACTTATAGTCCTTTTTATTTTGATAAGGTCAATAATATTGTCCCCCAATTTCATTTCTAGTTTTAATAATTTGAATAGTCTCTCTTTTCTTGGCTGGTCTGGCTGAAGATTTATCAACTTTATTGGTCTTATCAAAGAACCCACTCTTGTTTCTGTTCATTTTTCTCTCTTGTTTTTCTGTTCTCTATTTCATTTATTCCTACTGTTTGTCTTTTTTTATTGGAATATTCAATCCATTTATATTTTATGTAACAAGTATATTTAGATGTGAAAACATATTTATGCAGTCGTCTTTATTTACCTATGTAGCTCCCTGTACCAGTGTTCTTTTTTTCTTCAGATGAGTTTAAGTTACTGTCTCAAGTTAGTGTTTTTTCATTTAAACCTCCTTGAAGGACTCTCCTTGGTATTTCTTGTAGGGTAGGTCTGCTAACAACATTTTCTTTACGATTTTGTTTTTTGGCAATATCTTAATTTCTCCTTCATATTTGGAAAAATAATTTTGCTGGGTATAGACTACTTGGTTGACTATCTTCCTTTCAGCACTTTGACTGTATTCCACTGCCTTCTGGCCTCCATAGTTTCCGATGTGAAGTCAGCTGTTTATCTTACTGAAGCGTCTTTATACATGTTGAGTCACTTTTCTCTTTCAGTTATCAAGATTCTTTCTTTGTTCTTGTCTTTTGACAGAGTCTGATGTGCATATGTTTGGATGTCTTTGAACTTAGCCTACTTGCAGTTTGTTGAGTTTCTTAGATGTACAAATTAGTATTTTCATCAAATTAGGGGCGTTCTTGGTCATTATTTTTTCACATGTGCTTTCTGCCCCTTTCTTTCTCTCCTTTTCCTTCTGGGACTTCTGTTATGTGCACATTTGTATTGTTGAGGGTGTCCCACCTACCTCTAAGGCTCTGTTCATTTTTCTTCATTTCTTTTTCTTTCTGCTCTTCAGACTGGATAATCTCCATAGACCTGGTGTCAAGTTAGCTGATTTCTTCTTCTGTCATATCTGCAGGGGATCCTCTCTAGTGAACTTTTCATTTTAGTCATTACACTTTGCATCTCTAGAATTTCTACTTTGTTCTTAATAATTTTTATCTGTTGCTATTCTCTATATGGTGAGATGTTCACATACATTATTTAGGCATGGTTCCTATTCTTTGAACATGTGTATAATTGCTTGTTTAAGTCTTTGTCTAGTAAGTTCAGTGTCTGGGTGTTCTGAGGGACAGTTTCTTTGCTTTTTTCCCCCTGTGCTATAGCCAAACATTTCTGTTTCTTTGCATATCTTGTATTTTCTGTTGAAAACTTGTCATTTTAAATATTATAATGCAGCAGGTCTGGAAATCAGACTATTCGGGTTTGATATTTCTTCTGTGGTCATCAGTGTTGCTGCTCTTCATTTACTTACTATACCAAATAAATTCTGTGAAATCTGTGTTCTTTATTCATGTGGCTGTGAAGTCTGTGTTCAATAAGCTTAGCTGTCAGCCAGTGGTTGGAGAGTGATTTCTTTAAATGCCTGGGAGCAGTCATTCTTTGAACTCTCACCAAGTGGCTCCATGTTTGTGTGCAGGGAATGCCCTCAGCACTCCAGACAGACAACTTTTCCTTAGCCTTTACTTCTTGTTTATGCAGAAGCTCAAGGTCAGCCAGAGGTGAGAAATTGTTTTCTCCAGTCTGTCCTGGCCACTTGTACTGTCCTACACATGCACATGGCCTTCTACAATTCTAAGAATTTGCTGGAGCTCTTTGAAGCTCCCTATGGACACCTCATTCCCCAATTTTTCCTTCTAAGTTTTTGGTCAACATCTTATTATTGCTTATTGGTAGTTATAATGCCTCTCGGGCAGTTGTAGTGTTAAATAATTATTGTTAATCACTTTCAACAGACACTCTGGGGATAGGGATGTTTGCACAGTATGAACTCTGAGGTTTGTCCAGGAATGACAAATTCTGAGAATGACTCTTTTCCATGGAGCTTCCGGTGACAGCTTCAAATCATGACAGTTCTCTGGGAAGAGGTTTTCTCTGGCAGTTGCAAGCCACTTCTGCTCCTTTCAGTGGCTCTAAGCCACCATGGTTGGGCCTTTTGGTTTATAAGGCCACCATGAGGCTGAGGATATGGGCATGGGAATAGGTCAAGTTAAAAATGCCACAAAGCTCACTATTTTTAATGGAAATTTTGTTGTTTTTCCTCAGATAAATACTACTTCAATTGTTTTAAGCCTTTGTGTAATTTCCAGAGTTCCGTAGAGGTTAATTATGACAAATTTTGCTAGAGTTCTCATTGCTTTTATGGAAAAGCAGTTTTCTAAGATCTTTACTCAAATATTCTAGAAGTTTTTCCATGTCCATTTGTTTTAATGAGTTATTTGCAAAGCTTACTAACATATAACTCCAATTCCATTCCCATAAGAGTCTAGTCTATGTGAAGGCTTCCCCTAGAGGGAGCAGTGTGCAACCTGCTATTAGTATGTTGTTAATGTGTAAATACTCTGGTGAATCATCCTTTGCCATTTCTGTGTGTTGCAAAACTTCTACCACTTCGTGGATATATTTTTTTCAATCCTCCCTTTAGGTCTTTAAATGAAATTCTCACTTTTAAAAGATTTTGAATGTATCAATATTTCCCTTTATGAATTATGCTTTTTGGTTTCTCATTACCAAAATTTCTCCTCTTCCAAGGTTATAGGGATAGTCTGTTTTTTTCTTAAGTTAGTATTGTTGCATTCTCATTTTCCACCTGGAAGTAATTTGTATGTTAGGATTTAGGGCTTCAATTTCAGTTTTCCTGTATGGATATTCCATTGCATCAGCCCCATTTGTTGAAATGTCAATTCTCACCTTACTGGTTTGCTGGGCCAGCCCAGTCATAAGTTAGTTTTCGTATATTCAGAGGTCTCTTCTGATCTCTATTTTGTCTCTTGGTCAATTTTTCTTAACTGGTCCAATAGCACCTTGTTCCTTAGGAGTGTCTTGACTATTCTGAACCTTCTTCTGCTGAATTTATCGTTCAAACAGTGGATAAGTAGCATCTTCAAATATTGGTTCCTCCAAGTTATGAACATCCCAAGTATCCATTTATATTATTTGTTTTCACTCTTTCAGAACAGTTTTATCATTTTCTCTATATAAATCTTATACATCTTGAATTAGATTTATTCCTAGTTCTTTGTATTTTTTAAGCTATTGAAAAATGGTATTAAAAAATTAATTCCTAATTTGTTGCAGGTCTACATTGACACAACTCCAGTATTTTATATACAGATTTTCTGTCCCACAGGCTTACTAAACTCACTTATTATAATTTATCTATAGTTCTAGTGAGTTGTCTATGTAGACACTCATGTAATCTGTTACCAATAGCAGTCTTTTCTTCCTTGCCAACCCTCCTGGCTTTGTTTTTCTTGACTTACTGTGCTGGTAAGGCTCTTCAGCTGAAAAGAAGTAGTGATAGCAGGACCCTTCATCTTGTGTTTGATCTAAAGGAAATACTTTCAGCATTTTACCATTAAGTATCATTTTTCTGTAGGTTTCATGTTGCAAGCTATTTTCAGGGTAATGAAGTTCACTCCCATTCTTAGTTTTATAATAATTTGTTTTTCATTTTCTTATCATGAATGGATGTTCAATTTTATTATGCTACTAGAAAGGAAGTCCTGGTCTTTAACATTTTTTTAATTACATTTTATTTTTCTCTTTTCTTTAGCAAAGAGGTTTGTCATCCTGATATTGGTGGCAAGATCATAATGTGTCCTCAGTGTGATAAGCTTTGTCCATTCTGGAAACTCAATATTACTTGTGAGTCCTCAAAGGTAATTTTTATCTTTCCAAACATTTAAAAATAATGAAATATTTTTTCTTCTAGTAATTTTAGTAATATCTAAAAGTCATATATATTTTTTTCTCTGAGGAATTCAGAAAGGGAATTTTCAACTAAACCTCCAAACATTCTGAAAGGTAGATTCAAAATGTGTGTGTTTATTTCTCTTTTACAAATAGTAAATTGAGATTAAAAGCCTTAAGTAAAATCTCCTGGACAGTCTTTAGGCAACTGTGGGATTGAACTGAGTAGTTTAGGGTAGTCGAAGTAGTCAAAGTAGTCAAAGCAGAATTCTTAAATCTGGTTTATCTCTTGAATACTATTTAAAAGATTTACTTTTATAAGTATTTTACTTAATTCAAGTTGAATGGAAATTGCAATTTGTGCTTATGTATTCCCACTTTCAAGTATGCTGAAACCGCTGGATTTTTAAAGACCCTGATGTATCTATAAATATGCATAAGAAATGCTTTGTATATAAAAAAAGGTTTTGTCTCAAAACATCCCCACAAAACACATCTTATCCCCCTGTACATGCAGATGACCTCGGCTGTATGACTTCTTAGAATCCAGGAGGTTTAGGGTGAGCATTGGGACTGGAGGTCGTTAGCTGAAAGGCATGTCGGGAACCCGGACAGGAAGAAAGATGATCCGCCCCCTTCAGTGGTTTCCCGATGACCCTGATGCATCTTACAGTCTGGCCTCTGTGTCCCTGTTCTGCCGTGAATGTTAGGGAATCTTTCTGTGACCTCAGAGTGTTCTGACCTGCTCCCTCTAACTTTTTTTATTGAAGTACCATTGATAAACAATCTTATATTGGTTTCAGGTATACAACACAGTGGTTCAACAGTTACCAACACTACTGAATCCTCACCCCAAATAGTGTAGTTAGTATCTGTCAACATAGGAAGATGTTACAGAATCATTGGCTATTTTCTCCATGCTGCACTACCGCCCCTGTGACCACTTTATATTATGATTGAGAATTTTTGTGTCCCTTTATCCCCCTCACCGCCCTCAGTCAGCCACCCCAATCTCTCTCCCCCATGGTAACCACCAGTCACTTCTCAGGGTCTATGAGTCTACTGCTATTTTGTTCGTTTTGTTTTGTGCTGTTTTTCTATTCCACAAATAAGTGAAATCTGTGGTATTTCTCTTTCCCTGCCTGGCTAATTTCTCTTAGCATAATACCCTCTAGCTCCATCCATGTTGCCACAAATAGCAGGATTTCTTTCTTTCCTATAGCTGAATAATATTCCATTGTGTATATGTACCATATCTTCTTTATCCATTCATCTGTTGATGGACACGTAGGTTGCTTCTGTATCTTGGCTATTGTAAATAATGTGGCAATAAACATAGGAGTGCATATATCTTTTTGAATCAAGAATTTTGTAAATTCCTGGGTTGTATGGTATTTCTACTTTTAGTTTTTTGAGGAACCTCCATACTGCTTTCCACAGTGGCTGCCCCAATTTACATTCCCACCAGCAGTGTAGGAGGGCTCCCCTTTCTCCACATCCTCACCAGCATTTGTTATGTCTTGTCTTTTGGATGGTGGCCGTCCTAACTGGTGTGAGGTGTCATCTCACTGTGGTTCTAATTTGCATTTCCCTGATGATTAGCGATGTGGAGCATCTTTTCACGCACCTCTTGGCATCCGTATGTCTTCTTTAGAGAAGTGTCTGCTCAGGTCCTCCGCCCACTTTTTCACTGGGTTATTTGGGTTTTGGTGCTGAGGCATGTGAGTTCTTTATATTTGGATGTTAGAGCTCCATCCAAGTTTAATGAATGTGTTGCTCTTATAGTGATGTCACCTTACATTTTATACGTTGCAAAGTTCTTGTATATATATTATCACTTTGATACACAAACAGCCCTGTGAGATAGAAAGAAGATGTATTATCTCATTTCACAGATTAAAACACTAAGAGACTCATAATCTGCTCAAGGTCACCCACCTCGTAACTGACAAAGCCAGAATAGATGGCACAGGTGCCTCCCCTGCCATCACCACGTTCCCCACCAGCTGACGGTAGTGCCAGGCACTTCACCCTCGAGCTGAGCTCTGTGTTTGAAAAATTATTCCACCTCTTAATGAATGTGATTGCAGGGTACTGCCAACACATGGATCTTTTCACCTAATTTGTGAATTAAAATAGATTTCATTGCCCCCATCCTCCCAAATCAACACAAATTCTAGACTATAAGTGCTCATCATAGGCACAAAGCAGCAGCTTGCGGCCAGTGGGAGGGAAGCTGCCCTCCAGTGGCGTGGGCTCGTGGGCTCGTGGTCAGCACACATCCCAGGCCCTGGACTTCAGGCAGATGCCACCAGCAATACCAGAGGCAAACTGTACCGCCCAGAGCACAACTGGAAAGCCCATTTTCCTCAAGAGGTTCTCTTTCACACATCCCACCCCCATCTTCTCTCATTTCTTCTGCTCCCCCTTCCTATCCTTTAACACATGACTTTCAAATATGCCCCTGTGTACATTTTTTCCCATTATTCTGGAAAAAATGAATCTTTTATTCTGCTCCAGTTTCCTGAAGGATCCCTTGAGTCTTGTCAGAGTGATTTACCAAAGGAAGGAAGCACAGAGAAGAATTTGACTGGAAGACTAGAATAAAATGAAAAAAATAAGTTCAAAAAGGAGACAAAGAGAGCCGCTTTCCATGCTTCTTTGTTTTTGATTGATCCAACCATTTCTTCATTCATACATTTATTTATATAGTCATTGGTGGAGAGTATTCACTAATTGGCATGTATGCCAAAAGGGTTAACAAATTAGAGATAGAAATATCAAATCAGGATCGAGGAAATGAATCAGTTATGGAAATGTGCAGCTATGCCATTTTTCATTCATTGTCATTGTACCCATCGTTGTGTCAGCCAAAAGCACCTGTGCCCCCTCCCTCTAGTGGGGGCTACGGTGGGGACGGGAGAAGCGCTGTCTCTGGGTGTGAGGAACGAGCTCTCGAGGGAGGTGGGGGGAGGCCTCTCAGAATAAGCCCCAGCTTCCTGCTTCTCTTAACAAGAGCAAGAAGTCAATAATTTATCCTCCAACCAGGATGAGATAGAGACCAGATGCAAATTGGAAACCTGAAAGTTGCTTAGAGTTCATTGGATTCCTACTTCCTCAAACTCACTGTGACAGTTCACAAGAAGAGGCCATTATTCAACAGCCTGATGGAGACTTTACCTGTGGAATCTTAGCAGCTACGCCCACTTACCACAACAGGGAAAGATTCCACTGGAAAAGCACTCTGGTAAATACAGCAAAGGCTGTTTGCTTTCAAAGGAATGAGAAATCCCATGTGTGAGTGTGTGGTGGACATGGTGATTGTTAAAGTAGGTATCAGCTTACTGTAGGATTCATGAAGCATTGCCTCTTTGCTGAATTCTGGTAAGTGGGGAATATGATTGTTTGCATGTCATTGTATTTTCCAGAAATTGTGCATCTTTGACAGTTTTGGGACCCTAGTCTTTGCAGTGTTTATGGGGATATGGGGTAAGTCATTTACCTTTTTTTTTTTGCAGTTTACTTTTGCCTCTTAACATAAAAAACCCTAAGATCATACAAGCACCAATTTAATAGCATTTTACATCTCATATAGACTATCAGAGTAATCCACTGTAGGATCTTGGATTGCCCAAGCCTCCCCCACTAGAGCTCCATCTGTGCCTTCTAAGACTGTTGTATCAGTTACTGCATTAAAAACTACCTCAAAATGTAGTGGCTTAAAACACACCTTTGCTATTTCCCTGGATTCTGGGTGCGAGCCAGCAGGCCCTCCAGGCGGCGCTGGCTGCGTGGTCTGTGCCGAGGGCTCGCAGCCCCACCCAGGTGGGCAGTCCGGCCGGTTTGGTCTCTCGTCTCATCATGCCCCACAGGGTCTCATCCTCCAGGATTCTTTATCGGGCGCTTTAGGGTTGCAAAGAGAGGACAAGGTCCAATGCGCAGACGTTTTTTTCAGCCTTGGTTGCATCAAATCTTCCATGAGCCGCAGCAAGTCATGGCCAGGCCAGCAACAGTGCCAGGTGGGAGGGCCGCCCAAGGGCACGGGCACAGGATGGCCGCTGTCACTGGGGCAGCGGTGGTCCCCCAGCTGCACTCCGTCCTGTCGTGGGGTCGGTGTCAGGGGCCACGGGGAAGCAGCTTTACATACTTCAGTGTGAGTTTAGTGAGTATGTGCCACTCTTAGAGTACAATGAGTTCTGTTTAATAAATAGAACAGATACAGTCCTAAAGAATATAATCCTCATACAGAAGCTTGAGCACTATGTTCATATCATTTCCTTTGAACAGCATCATTATGTAATGAGGAGGTTACCATGTCCTTAGATGCAGACTTTTAAACTTTGAATTGAGGTAAATGTTCTGCCATAGAAGAAAGAAGTTTCTGTTTTGCAAGATAAACACGTTTCCAATTCTGTGTGACTCAGGGGAGGTGGAGTTCAGGTCGTGGGGAGTGGGGGATGAGACTGCCCAGGTCACTCACCGGAGAGCGCACGGGGCGAGCAGGTGCAGCCCGCGGGACAGCGCTGGATGGGTGTCCCTGAGGGAGTTTCTCATGAGAGGCCACCAAACAGATTGCAGAATGACAACCCACTCACTGTGGGCACTTGGGAGAGACTAGGTGCCGCTCCTGGACACAGATGGTCAAGCTGATTTAGTAAGTTAGTCACGTCGCCGGCTCACATTTGGCATGTTTTGGCTGGAGACCGAACACTGACACTGGGAGAATAAAGATCAGATGCATCTGTCAAGATCCCCTGTCCTCCTCCATCGTGAGGTGCACCTTGTCCCCCAGTGAGAGCACACATGCAGGACACACAGGTGGGGGACACTCGGAACAGGTGTGGATCTTAGTATCAGCCCTCATGTGTACTCTATAAAATACTAACATGCCTACTGAATTCCTCTACTAATGGATGCTGGCAGCCCTAATTTAAATAGACATCTTAAAGCAAAAAAGACATATTAATTTTGACACTGGGAAGATAAACCTCACATTTCCTATCTACCGTTGCTTTCTATGATCATTAACTACACTGTGTTTATAGAACTGACTTAAGTGTATTGAGCTCATTTTATTTCCTCAGATTTTAGAATGCAGAAAGCATTTCAACACTGCTGGTAGCACCATACGTATATCTTTAAGGATATGTCTGTGTGATGAAGTCATTATTTTAAGTGTCTCATAGTGCTTTTCTTGTTACCTGTGCTCATGAGCCCTGCTGTGAGCCTCCTTCGAGGCTGAAATCGCAGACCTGAGGAGGCGGGTGGATCCTGTCATGTTTTCCTCTCGTCATCATATTCCCGTAGCATCTCTCCTGTGCCCAGATGTATGTGGCACTACAAGTGTTTTTCTGCTCCCTAGGAATTACATAAAAGCTCAGGGTAGAAAACCTTTAGGATAAGTGTAATACAAGTCATACTTGTCTGAGAAATGTCCCCCCTTTTAGGCCACACCAGCCCACCCATTCCCACTGACGCACAGACACCTGTGGTTGGAGTAAAGATTCTTCATACACACACACACACATATACACACACACCCCTTCCTTCTGATGTACTTTATCTGCTACACACACACACACACACACACACACACACACCACACCACGCCACACCCCCTTCCTTCTGATGTACCTTACCTCGTCCAGGCTCCATGCTCGCATGACCGCACTTTTTAATTCTCACCTTCGAGCTCCAGGCCGGGCCTAGTCATTTGCAGAACAACACCTGCCTCCGGGCTCAGCAGGGGCTGGGGAGCCGGAAGCCATTACGGCACAGCTGCCGCCAGGGCTCAGGAAGCGGCTGTTGCGGCTGCCTGTCTGGGTCTGGGCTGCCCTGCTGGGTCCCCGCCCGCCAGGCTGGCTCCCGCGGTTGCCTCCCACTCCGTCCAGCTCAGTTCCTGATTTGAGGGACACGCAGAGGCATCTGATGGGCATTTAAAATCATGTCAGGAGTGCCGCGGGGCAGGACCTGGCTCTCCGGTTTCCGTGCCTTCGTTGGGGCTCCCAGGGCACATGGCCGTGACTTCCCACCCGCACTGGTCAGCTCTGAGGCCCCCCCCGAGTGCACCACGGGACCCACCGCTGGGACAGCCTTCGCTGCATGCTGACCCTGGGCACCCAGCCCACGTGTGCTGACAGCCTCACAGTCCTCTTAGCAGTCCGCACTGCCGTTCCTGTGTGCTCCTGTCCTGTTTCTACTCTTACGTAATTCCTATACAATTCCTCTTTTCTCTTTATTCTCAGAACTTAAAAATATTGTGGATGGAGCAGCATTAATTCAACATTTCTACATAGGAAGGGGGCTTTAAGTGCTCCGATGACGGGCCTAGAGGACTTACCCTGAAACCAAATTTTCAATTAATTTCTAATATTGTCTCTGTTTAGTTCTTTATGTTACAAGTCTTGAAAGATAAAGATTTCTAAAAATTATTTTATTCATACTTTGCACAAGATGGAGAAAAATACCATATTTAAGAATTATTATTTTAATTTGGGGAGGCTTGGCTGGGTGAATAGAGATTTAGGGACCAACAGGGTGTGTTAATTTATAAATTTGCAGGCTCTTAGAAAGGAAGAGAGGGAGAGGGGTGGAGGGGGAGCAGACCCAAGGATGGGTGGGCCCCGAGCTGCCCTTGAATTACAGAATTGATCAGCTGGTAGCCGGCCGCTCGCATCGAAACATTCACTTGCGTTTGACCATCGCATTCTTACTTTCCCGCAAGCTGTGTCCTGTTTGCATAAACTGAATAAATGATCCACATTTTCTTCAGAAAAATGCATTAGCTCATTTTTCTCATTATAATTTTTATTTCTATTTTAAAAGTTCTTTATTGAAGTAGACTTTACATACAATATTTTGCTTTAATTTTAAATATTAGCATCACCTGTAAATTAACTTGTTGACCGTAGAGAGTATTATGGATGATCAGTATTACTCAGGACAGATTTCTGAAACTGCGGTCGGCACTGCAGACCCCGTGACTGTTCTCTCTCTCTGTCAGTCACCTTGTTCTTGGAGTTCTGGAAGCGGCGCCAGGCGGAACTTGAGTATGAGTGGGACACCGTTGAGCTACAGCAGGAAGAGCAGCCCCGGCCGGAGTACGAGGCCCGGTGCACGCACGTGGTCATCAACGAGATCACTCAGGTGCCGGGGACGTGGCTCGCGTGCAGTTCAGGCCGTGTGTCCGCAGCGGCTCTCAGCCCTGCTGGCGCGCTGGAGATCACGGGACCTTGGGACACCGCGGTGCCCTCGCTACGGCTGCGCTGATGGTCGGGCACAGGGGGGTTCGAAGTTCCTCTGGGAATCTTACCTGCAGCCACAGTGAAGAAACACTGCTTAGAACAGTGGCCGCAGAGATAAATGTGGTCCTTTTTTCTTGATAACAGTAAAAATGGAAAAAAATTAGACTGACATGAACATAGAAGATACGTTGGTTTGTGTCCTTTCATAATACCAGTCAAAAGGGCAAAAAAAAAGAAGCCTGACTGTGACAGGTGTGAGGGCAGGTGCGCGGTGTCGACGTAGATTCTCAGCGGCGCGCGCGCACCCTCAGTCCGGCCCCTCTTCCCTCCGACGCCCCTGCCCCTTTGTGCTGCCCTTGGGCTCAGTCGCGGCTCCGCCTTGCGGTTGGTGCACAGAACGAAGTGGCTCTTGCCCAAAAGCGGCAGGAAGGCTGCGCTTGTCGAGGTCCAACTACGTCCGGGCACAGTGCTGGGCGTTTGATGTGATTGGGAGAGTAAATTTGTTGCTGCAAAAATTAAACAAAAAAAAAAGCCATATATAACTATATAAACATTCCAAAGTCCACGAGGGGTGATTCTGAATTGTCTGCGTTATTGCTTCATTCTATCATCACAGAGAATTGAGAGCTGAATTCAGACAGGTCTGAATATGAAAAATTCTTGGAAAGAAAATGCTCTTACCATGAGCATCTGAAAATGTCCCCAATTATAGATTTTCCAAGTTGAATCACAGATTTACAGACTGTTGGCACTAAAAGGGACTGGAGGGAGCAGTTCAATGTCCTCATTTTATAAATGGAGAAAAATGAGGTTCAATATTCAACAGAAGGTGACATTTATCTTTTACAATGTAACAGGCTTCAAATAATCCCCACTATGAATATTTTCCACTGTTTGCTATGAAAGACAGCATCTAAGCATGTGCTGTTGAAAGACTGTATGCTCAGAAATGAAAGCAGAAACTGAGATAAAATTAGGTATTCAAAAACGTCTTTTGAATCCTGAAAAACAAAAGCTTACAATATTGGGTGCCTAGTAAAAATACCAAAGAAAAGACAAGTTGGTGATTTAAACCTGCCAGTTTTAAATTTTATATCGCCAATTAATTAATTAAATTTCCATTGAAACATGGCTTGTTAAAAATACTGAAGGTTCATTTTTTTAAAACTTTTTTCCACACTTTATTTCTGTTGCTAATGCATCCGCCTCTGGTTCAGTTTAGAGAGGCCTGTCGTGTGGAGGTGAAGTGGGACTGACACAGGTTGAATGTGGACGCAGCGACTTACTAGCCGAACGACCTTGGGGAAAGTATTTAGCTTCTCTGTGCCGGCTGCCTCGGCTGTACAATGGGGGTAATAGGGCTGCCGCCTCACGTGACTGTGGTGAGGACTCATTGACTTAATGTGTGGAGCCCACGGTACCTGGTCAGAGTGAATGCCACGTATTTGCAGCTATTAGTGAGCGATAGCTGCTCTTGTAGTCCAGGTAAATCTTGAGAAGAGTTTATTTCTTCTCTTAAAAATGTAAACATGTTATAAAGTATAAAATGGAAACTCTACAAATTCATAGTTATACCAACCTAATATAGAAACTCCACCAGGAAACTGGTACTGGGTGGGGAGTATAGCAGGCCCCTGTGAGACTGTCCTGCCTGGACCCTGTGTGTCACCACAGTCCCTCTGGGGTCTAAGGTCACCATGGTCACCTCTGAGGTCTAAGGTCACTATGGTCACCTCTGGGGTCTGAGGTCACCATGGTCACCTCTGAGGTCTAAGGTCACCCTGGTCACCTCTGGGGTCTGAGGTCACCATGGTTGCCTGTGAGGTCTAAGGTCACCACAGTCACCTCTGGGGTCTGAGGTCACCTCTGAGGTCTGAGGTCACCATGGTCGCCTCTGGGGTCTGAGGTCACTGCAGTCCCTCTGGGGTCTGAGGTCACTGCAGTCCCTCTGGGGTCTGAGATCACTGCGGTCCCTCAGGCCTGAGGTCACCGTGGTCCCTCTGAAGCCTAAGACAAGCTCAGAAAGCTGCACAACTTGGCCCTGTCAAATACCCAGATTCCAGAGCTAATGTCACAGCAGGTACATAGTTTATTATTCACCCTTGCATTTGCAATATCTTTAAAGTGAACACTGCATGTGTTGTCTGTGTGTTTGAGAGGAACAGAAAGCAGGCAACCGTGAATAAGGAAGCTCTGTTTGAAAACTCATTAAAAAGAAGTTAAGCCTAAGATTTAGTGACCAAGCAGGAGAACTGTCATTTCACTGGAGTGATCCCTTCCTTGACTCGACTTTTCTTTTTTTTTCCCCAGGAAGAAGAGCGTGTCCCCTTCACTACCTGCGGGAAATGTATACGTATAGCCCTCTGCGCAAGCGCCGTCCTGTTCTGGGTACGTACGAGCCCGCCACAGATTTGTTAATGTTCTGTCTTACACAGCAAGGCAATTAGAAGCTGAGCTGGACCCTGTGTAATCTCGTAGAATTGTTTCCAGGGAACTACTTACCTGTGGTAGAGCAGCGATCCAGGTTTCAGGATACCTGTCTGCTCACACGGCTGCTTCCGCACCCTGCACCTCACTGGTTCACACAGACCAGCGGTCCAGGACCTTCCCATTTCTCATGAAGACATCGAGTGGGAAGCACTGAGAATTCCACAATTCTCTGGTAGTAACAACTGAAATAAAATGTCTAGGACTAGCCTGAGCAACAAGATGATGGAACTATCAAAGAAAACATAAAAACTATTGAAAGACATAAAGGAAGCCTTAAACAAGCCTTAAATGGTTTTAGGTAAAAAGACAAAATTTATAAAATAACAGAACTCAAATAATTAATTCTGGGTTTGTTTTTAGTAAAGTCATATTGGTAATATAATTAGCAGTATAATGAGCGTTTTATTAGCTCCAGAACAGCCAGATTAGAGAGTAGAACATGAAGCTCAAATATGGCCCCTGATAGCAACAAAAATTTGATATACGAGGAGGGAGGCATTATAAATCAGTGGGATAAGTAAAAATTATTCAATAAATGGTAATGGAACACTTGTTAGCTATTTGGGGGGAAAAAGTAAAGTTTAAAACCGTACTATCAAACACATAGTATAATAAATTCCAGAAACATTTTAAAAAGCAACACCATAAAAGCTATAAATAAATATTGATGAATGTACAATCCTAGATGCAATATGACTTTCTCAATTTAGTAACAATGAGAAAAGTTTCAGAGGAAAATAGTTGAAGATTTCCACACCAAAAAAGCATCCTATATTTAAAGCAAAAACACCAGTAGAATGATTTGTTAGCAAATAGGGAAAAGGGTTAATATCTTCAATAAAATAGACTCTAGGTCACTTCTAAGGCACCGCCCAACATCACAGGAGCTGAGGAGGCTGTGAACACGAGCACACATGACGGGGAGAAGCCACATGGCCTTCAAGCCGCAACAGTAACTCAATCAGTGCAGATCAAACTGAGGTGTGATTTTTCACCTCCCAAGTGGTACGGCTGAGCGAGGATGAGGTTCAGCCCTTCGCTGCCCTCATTCTACACTGGAATTCTACACTGCGCTGGCCTCAGGAAGCACTTTGCCAGTACGTATCAGGAGTCAAAAATACTCATATTGCTTTAACCTACTAATTCAGCTTTCAAAAACTTAATCAGGAAGTATTTCAAAATGGTACACAAAAGTCAGTATTTAGTCACAGACATATTTATTACAAATGTACAGTATCTCAGCCAAAATATGTAATCCCCCCACCCTTTATACAGTGAAATATTATGTAGACATGAAAATGTATGTCCATGAAAATATTTTATGACCTGTTAAAATGTTATAATAGGCTTAAGGAAAGGATAAAATTCCTATGTATAATGACTTTAAATATGAAATAATGTGTGTTTCTGAAGGAATTATGTATGTATGTAGATAGTAGACTTGTCCCTGTTTTCCTGTATTTTTTATCCTTTGTTTTTATAGTTAGGAGTCTTTAGAAAATCAATCTCCATTTGGTCTAAGCAACAACATAGAAATGAGGGTGGGTGGGATTTATTGGTTCCTGTAACTGAAAATCCCAGGTGAGAGGTACAACTTCAGCCACTGATAGATACTGCAGCCCAGATGACATCAGTGGTTGTGTTTTTTCTGTGGTCTCTCAGTATGCTGGTTTTAGGCACTCCCTTCAGGTCACAAAGTGGCTGCAGCATTCCAGATCTTGCATCATATCCAAGCGGAGAGAGATCTCTTTCAGTAGCCTCCTGTATTGACAGAGGAAACTTTTCCACCCCCATGGGCACTAGGAGTAGCTCCTCACATCTCCATGGCTCTTACTAGATCATTCATCAGTCCTTGAATCGGTTGCTGAGGCCAATAGGATGGGATACCTATTTGTCTCTGACCAGTCAGGATCTGTCTCTGAAGCTGGGGCAGGGAGTCCAGAGCAAACCATGGGACTGAAAATGGAGTAAAATCTGGGTCTTTTTCTAAGACTGGGAACAGATGCAGGGCAGCAAAAGCCAGTGTCCACTACTGGGTCCTTTCAAATTTTCTATACTAAGCATATAGTAGAGTCGTGATCAGAAAAGTACATTAAGGTTATATTAGAAAAGATAAAGAGACTTGAGGAAGGAAGATGACAAGCTTCCTCCCATGAGGAAATTTTAAGCCTATCACATGCCCTGAAGAATCAGGAAATGTGCCACATTTGTAAGACTCTTGAGATGATCAGAACTCATTCCATAAACCGTGAGGCAGGCACTGCTGTGTGCAGCTTAGTGGGTCTCTGGAGTCTGTGAGTATCTCAGTTCCTAAATTGCTTAGTTTGGGGCAAATCGCTTAATCTCCGTGGCTCTATTTCCTCATCTGTGGAAGAGATCTAACACCACCTGCCTCACAGGGCTGTCGTGAGGATGCACAGGATGACGGACGTGCTGAGGTGGATAGTAAGCATGGAGAGTGTCCTCGCTGTTACCCGTGTCACTGTTTAAACGCTGGTCAGGTGTGCTCGGGGAGGCCTCGGCGTGCTTCCTCTCCAGTGCATCCTTCTCAGCCGTGCCCGGGGTTCACATGTTCTCACACACGTTACATATTAAGCCTTACATGTGAAGGAAAGGAAAGAGAGAGAGAGAGATTACAGGGGAGATATGATGCCGTTCTACGGACTGACGGCTGGGAGAGGGAAAGCCTCTTCTTACCACTGCTTGCCGTGATCGTAGCCAATGCTCAGCACTCTCCGTGTGCCTGGGCTTCACGTCGGGGCTGCCTTTCCCTGTGGTAGCCCGTCGAGTCCCCACAGCACTCCTGTGGCTAGTCGCATTACTGTGCCCGTAACGTGGGTGAGGAGGTTGGCGCCGCAGGAGATGCCAAGCTGGGGCTCGGGTGCAGGCGTTGGGCCCGAGGGCCGCCCTGGCTGGCAGTCACTCCCCGGAGGAAACCCGACAGGGTCTGCTGGGCCCCAGAAGGCACATTCTGTGCAGCTTCTGTCTCACAGCAGCCACCACATCTCAGATCCAAGCGTGAATGGCGTGGCATGTCCGTGGGCAGAGACCTGCTGCTGCTGCAGCCCTGAGCCCTCTGCCCAGGGCTCCATACAGAACCCGCGTCTGACGGTGGGCCAGCAGCAGGTTCTCTGCTGGAAGGAAACCGCGCTCTGTGTGGACTATACCTGGGCCCGAAGTACTGCTGCACGGCCCGAATGACCCCACGGCTCTAGGAGGGGTCTTCCTCACATTCTGCTACCACGGGGCCTTTTTCCTTCCAAAACGAGCTTCCAGCTGCCCCGTCTTCACCCCATCTCAAGACAGGTGCCCTCGGCCACCAAACTTTTGCGGAGCAGTTTCGGGTTGACAGGACACGGCTCAGACCGTGCAGATCCCCAGCAGGGCCGCCCTGCATGCGGCCACCATCCCTCCGTTTCTGATCTTGGACATTTAACGCGCCCGCTCTCCACCTCGTGTGGCAGTTCTGTGAGATGTATATCACCTCACACGCGCCCCTTTCCCATGCAAGCGGGCTGCTTTTTAAGTGTAAAGACGCGATTATTAGTGAATCTCATGCTGCGTTTGCTGCGTTTGCAGATCCTGCTGATCATTGCCTCCGTCATCGGGATTATTGTCTACAGGCTGTCGGTGTTCATTGTATTTTCTGCAAAACTTCCCAAGAGCTTTAATGGAACAGACCCGTTTCAGAAGTATCTGACCCCCCAGACAGCCACGTCCGTCACCGCCTCCGTCATCAGCTTCATCGTCATCATGATCCTGAACACCATCTATGAAAAAGTGGCGATTATGATCACTAATTTCGGTGAGGCCCTCCTGCCGCTCGGTCGTTTCTGAGACACTTCGAGGACCTGCTGAATACAAAGAATGTGTCTCTTGGGCATTTCAATTCTACTATGTTACAATTTTTGGAAAATTCCAAGTGTGAACCTATTTTATCTAACAATTTTATCATGCTCCTCTATTTATGGGAAGTGAATTATCAACAGGGTTAGTAAAAGGGACAAAGAGTTTTAATGTCCAAGCTCCGTGTAAACAGATCGGTGCTGAATAATATTTTCAGTTGCATTAGATCATGAACCCTGTTGTTGAGGGTAAATGGCCTCTTTATTGCAAATAAGTGGAATGGGGTCATGGGTCCGGAGGCAGAGAGGGCCCTTGTGACGAGGAGAGGCAGGCTCACCGCCGCGTGGTGCCCCCGTGCTATTCGTATCCATACCGCCCGCCCTCTTCAGCTCTAGCTCTGGTAACAAATGTTTCTTTGGCTTGTATCCCAGGCAGCTGCTTTGCAGCCAAAGTTAAGTGCTTCCCACAGACCACATATGCCCCTGTTGTTGTCCAAAGGGTCTGCTCGGTGGTCATCTTCTAAAGATGATCAGACCGACTTACACTCTAACCTCAGAGGATGACCTGTTTTGTCCCCCACACGCTTCCAGGAAGCTGCCTCTCTTTTCCTTGTTCTTTTCAACAGTCCTGCCTCATTGTGATTCAGGAAGGCAGGAGAGTGTCAGCCAGCTGTTCAAGAATAGTTTTCTGTCTGCTTAGACCTGAGAGAAGACAATTCTTGTCCATTTGATAACATTGTGCTTGTCAATGTTAAGGAATAGTTGAATTCTTTTGCCATGTGGGATATTGTATTTATGAGCAGAAAAACTCTTGTAACAATGTGTAAACTTGTAATTAACACAGTAGCTGTATGAAGGAATTCAAAACAGTTTAAATGGAAACTGTGTGAATTGTATTTTTTTAAACATGTTGAACTCCTGGATCAATGTCTTTCATCAGGGAGCCAAAGCAGCTGAGCTTTACAATGTTCCTTGTTTTGACCTCAGAGCTCCCGAGGACCCAGACAGACTACGAGAACAGCCTGACTATGAAGATGTTCTTATTCCAGTTCGTCAACTACTATTCCTCATGTTTCTACATTGCCTTCTTCAAGGGCAAGTTTGTAGGCTACCCAGGAGAGCCAGTGTATTGGCTGGGAAAGTATAGAAATGAAGAGGTAAGAATACAGAATTGGGTTCTCTTAACAGCTGGAGCTGCCTGTGTGTCCTCCCAGTTGCCCAATGAGCAGTGTCTTCACTGTGTTATTTGTTACATTTTCTTCTGTGCCTCAACAGAATGTCAGAAATTTTATTAATGCCTCAATTTCCCATCAGTCCATCTCAGACTGAAACGAGTCTCTTGTTCATATTCCAGTGTGACCCGGGTGGCTGTCTCCTCGAACTGACGACACAGCTGACGATCATCATGGGGGGCAAGGCGATCTGGAATAACATACAAGAGGTGCTGCTCCCGTGAGTACGGGTTCAGTCTCTGGGAGGGCACGGGGCAGAGCCTCCCCACCTTGCCTGCATATCTGCTTGCCCACCTGTTCGTCTATAAAGGTCTCCAGACAGGGTGGCCCGACCAGCCGTGTAAATGTATCAAGTGTGTAATTGCTGTGTTAGAGAAGCTGCTTTGTGTTTGACCCAAGTGCCCCCCTGCTGTGGTCGGTGTGCCTGTGGCCCATCACTGCTGGCCGACCATCCTGGCCTTGGCGGGTGGCCCCTGCTGGGCTGTGAGGTTAGTATTTGCACAACTTCGTATGACTTCTGCCCCTTTAAACAGTGGTTTCAGAGTCAGTGACAGCAGTTTGTTGAGTTCTGGCGTGTGCTGATCGGTGTATTGAGGGCTTTATGTATATCTCTCAATCACTCGAAGCTTTGTTATTTTTATCTCCCTTTTTGCAAGTGAAGATTCTGTGGCTCAAAAGGTTAAATGATTTACCCTTTCACGTTGCCAAGGAGAGGCTGCTGTGGAACTCAGGCCCATGCACTTTCACAGAAACCTCTCCTGTGGTCCTAGGGTTACACGATGTGTAAGACATAATCATCTAAGATAATGACCACAAAGCCTTGACTTCTTGTTCTTTCCCTAAAAGATGAGAACAGATGTTAGTGAGGGTCACCCTGTCCTTTTAAATTTTCCCATAAGCCCTGTCCTGTATCAAAGTGGGAGTCCAGTGCTGTCTGCGATTTCTGCACATTTCAGGGGGTCACTGCATCCGTTTTCTATCACTGCTCTAACAAATACCATGGACTTAATGGTCATGAGAGGGACTTTTTTAAAAACCCTCCGAACAACACAGGTTTTATGCCCTGTGGTTCTAGAAGTCAGAGTGTGGCCGGGTCTGCCTGGACTGAAGGTGCTGCCAGGCCTGCGGCCCTTTCTAAGGCCTCCAGGATGGCCGTTTCTTGGCCGTCTTGAGCTTTTAGGGTCATCTGCACTCCTGGGCTGGTGGGAAGCCAGCAATGAGCATGTCCCCAACTCCTCTGCCTGTAATGACCCTGCGATTGCACCACACACACCTGATAATCCATCTCAAAGTCAGCTGACCAGCTCTCCTAACTGCCCCGTGCCATGGGCCTAATGCCCTCAGGTGGTCAGGTTTGGACCTGGACATCTCTGCAGGGACTGTTTTTTTGCCTACCACACGTACCTTTTCACGATAATTTCTGGCGCTGAGTTTCTGTTTTCACAAAACCTTTGATCTCTCTCTGTCTGCGCCCCCCCTGTACACCCTGCCCCCTGCCGGCCCCTCAGCACCCTCCAGGACACGCCCAGCAGCCTTTACTGATGTCTGGGGCATGGAGGCGGGAACTCACACAACTTCAGTTCTGAAATCATACACCCCTGTCTTCTAAAAGCCCTTCACCTCAGCGTACGGCACAGTGTCTGGAATGATCTTCCCCTTGCTTGGAGACTGGGACTGCTGAAGTGTTTGCCACGTCAGAGCGAGACGTGGCCTCTCCGTCACCGCCTCTCTGTGTACGGGGCCACTGTCCTTCACACTTTTTCACACAAAATCCAGACACACCAAAGATGTACGTTTCTCTTACTACCCTAAACACACCCATCCCAGGATGGCAGAGGAAGGGAGAGAAAAGCCTTACAAGTCAGCAGCTGTTTTCACGCCACTTAAATAGACCAGAGGGAACAGGGAAGTAAAATTCACTGTAAACATACCTTTCTCACTTGGGGTCCTCTTCTGGGGGGCTTGGAGTGAATCAAGCACACCCAGCACTGGGGTTGGGGTCTCCCCAGCACCCTGAGCAGTGGGCACTCTCCTACTGACAGCGTGAGGGACTCATACACCTGGAGTTGGTAACATCAGTCGGTGAATAGGGCCGTTTGTTGGGCCCCAGAACGAGCCCAGAGCCCTTGGCCTCCCTGCCCTCAGTCACACTTGGTATTCGAGGCATTCCTGGGAATGTCATTCTGTGGTTGACAAAAGCCTAGTGTGGTTCTTATTTAAGCCACTTGCTCTGGAGAAATATTTTTGGTAAAATGTTAACAGCAATAATTAGAGTTAAATATCCGGCATGCCGATAGCATTGTCCTTTGGTGTTTATATGATGGATGGCTGTAATTTTCTTGCTTATATGTTTGCTGTGTTTTCCACAATGGGCATGTACTGCTTATATAGTAAGAAAAGTGAACTGTTACAGAGAAATGTCCCTGCTCAAGGTGTGATTCTGCTAGAGGACGAACCAGGGATGTACAGTAAGGGAACCCTCCGTGCGTCCACCCCACTCCTGCCCCAGCGGCAGACGCCCGTCCCTCGCCCTCCTTTATGTTTCTCCGCAGCACCAATCACCAGGCCACTGGCCACGTCTCTGTTGTCCTCTGGTGATTTTCAGACAGGAAAGACCATTTTGGACAATAGCAGGGAAATGAAAGCAGCTAAAGTTAATCAGATAAGGGAAAATGTCTTTTAAAAACTGAACTGCCCACATGAAAAGGAGGTAGGAGAAAAAATAGTAGTGGTTACAATTTTGATAATCCCAGGGACACAGAACTATTTTTCGAAATATTTTGGGGTAGGGAGACAAAAACATGAAAACAACTTAATTTCTTAGGAAGATTACATGTTCAGCTTGAGGTACCAGCAAAATGCTTCTGTAGGCCTGGTAATACTCTGACCTGTAGTTTGATCTTTTTGGCAGCTGGGTCAAGAACCTAATCGGACGGTGCCGCACTGTTTCAGGAGCAGAAAAGATAACCCCCCGCTGGGAGCAGGACTACCACCTGCAGCTCATGGGCAGACTGGGGTTGTTCTACGAGTACCTGGAAATGAGTAAGTCGTCGGCGAAGTTTCAGGTGACGTGTGTTCTATCGAAACATGTTTTAGATCCCAAAGGCATCAGTTATTGAGCCAAATCATTATCTAGCATATTGAAATGAAGAGTACGTTTTTCTCCACTTGATAACATTATGCAATCAGGGTATCAAATAAGGTGGCTCTGTACCTTTGCTAATACATATGTTGTACAAAGCTAAAGATTTACTACCAAGCAGTGAAATGGAATATGCATTGAGGTGCCTCCTCTCCATTAATTCTCAGTGCATTCTATTCTAACCATGCTGTCTGAGAATCGACTCAGAACTATTATTAGATGTGCTTCAGCTCGGGCTAGAGTCCAGGCGGGCATGGCTGCCAGCCAATGTGCATCTGAACAGTCGTTCAGGTCTGGACAGGACACCTGTGGGAGCTGCTTCGTGGCGGGGACCAGAGGTTCCCCATCTCCACACTGCCTTGGACAGTGGGTCTATTTCTTCTGGCCGGGGGTTTCTGCCTGGTTCTGTGAGTGACCTCCTGGCTAATCGCTGGCTTGAATCCAGAACATTTTGCTGGTCTGGAATCAGGATCGGCATGGGTCCCCCCTCTTGACTGTCTTTGTCCATTTGTGTAGTATTTGCTTGGGCTCCATTTCTTTTCAGCTGAACTCAATTTTGAGTTCTCAGTTGCCTTTAAATGGATGCATCTCAAAATATATTCCCATAGAAAATGCCATCTTTTCTACTATGCATGCATGCCACACTTATATCTAATAGAAAGCTAATAATTTACATGTTTTGTGTCTGTGCACTGTGAGCCAGCCATTGCTTTGCATTACAGTTTTTTTAAGCCTAGGAGAATAGAAAGGGAGGCACATTTCGGTTTTCAGGCCTTGCATCTCTGCATAGGGGTTTGTGTGCTTGTAAAGGCACTCTTTGGGGCTCCTGTTGACCATTGCAGATAGAGAGTTGTTTTTATTAAATCACATTCTATATACAAAATAATTGCTTTTAAAAGTGTGCGTTATACATGGAAACACACTGGTTGATTTGGTGAGTGAAAGGTGCATCTTGTGGCTGCTACTGTGAACAATACTTTGCAGCCTGGAGTGGGATGTGAACTTCATTTCTGCATTTGTTATGTCTCATGATGAGGTTTGACTAAGGGTGTAACTATGCTACATAATGTAGAAGCTATATTTAATTATTTATTCTGCTTATTTCCAGAAGGATTGCAAGACAATTACCTGTTATTCCAAAATGAGTCATGATTGTAAATATTTCTAATTGGAGCTATTATCAGCAATAATAACAGGAACATTTGGGGCACAATATAATTTGTTATTTTAGCACACACACACACACACACACACACACACACAAACCCATGGAAGAAAGAGTTATTTTTCTGTAGTTAATAGCATTCAAAGGAAAAGCTGCATGGTCATGCATTAAGGAGAAGTTGACATGATTTTTAGAGTTTCCTAGTCTCATTAAAATAATAGCTGAAGAAATAATTTGGTCACAGCCCACCCTACAAGCAACGATGGAATAACAGCTGTTGCATACAGATTTGTTTAGTATTTATTAAACTGTTCTCCTGTTACCTGGATAATACCTAGTACTTTAGAAAAATCAATCGACTTCTGAGAGTGGCAGTCTGTATTCTGTATTCAACACCAGGGTGAAATCTGCTTTGTTCTGTGGGAGATCGAATTTCCCAAGGCCTCCGCGCCTCCCATTCCCTGGCTGGTGCACCACCGCCTGTACCGAATCCTGACTGTTTGTGTGATGGACGTGAGCTCAGACTCTAGTACACGTATAGCTGCCATTGAGTTCACACTACATTTTCCCAACCACCCCCACCAAATCCTGTATGGCGTTTTGGGGTTTTTTTAAGTGAAATTTCTTTTTTATTTTGTTGAGTTAATTCCCCACTGTTCTTTGAGATTATTAGCCTAACCCTGGGGTGTTAACCAAAATTGCCTCCCCAAGTGTATGGTTCTGACTTCTGAGATTTCAGACATGGGCCATAAGAGAAATACAGTTCACCCTTGAACAACATGGGTTGAATTGCATGGGCCCACTTATATGTGTATCTTTTTTCCAGTAACTCTTGGAAAATTTTTTGGAAATTTGTGACAACTTGAAAAACGTTTTCTTTTCTCTAGCTTTATTGTGAGAATACAATATGCAAAACATGTAATATACATAATGTGTATTCATGGACTGCTTACATTATCAGTTAGGCTTCCAGTCAGCAGTGGGCTACTAGGAAGTTATGTTTTGGGGGGGTCAAAAGTTATGCAGATTTCCAACTGTGGAGAGTGTCAGCACCCCAAGCCCCGTGTTGTTGAAGAGTCAGCCGTGTTCTGTCAGTCTTAAATCGGGAAGCCGTACGATTTCGCTCAGTGCCCTGTGCAGCCCTGCCGGTGGTCTCTCAGGAACGTGGCAATGCCTTGCCAGCGGGCGGGGCCGTAGATATAGATACAGCGCTCCATATAGATGGAGCCATAAACCCGGCCTTGTTTGTCATCTCCCGCCCTTGCCATCATTAGCTTGACGTCCGTGTATTATTTTCTCCATTCGATTCACTGTGACTGACACGGGCTCCTCCTCAACAACTCCTGGCACCCATCTCTTCTCCCCTCCTCCACACCCAGCCCCCCACTCTCTGGGACGTGGGCTGTTGCCCTCAAGTCCCTCATCTCTGCTCTGCTTCTGTCCAGGAAATGCGCAGTTCACCCAGAGAAGTTTAAAAGTTTAAAAGTACAAGGGCATGAAACTGCAAGAAGGTGTGCAAGCCAAGTGTGGTTAGAATAAAGGATCCATGGGGGGTGGATATCAAGAAGCAAGGGCTGTGCCATGATGGGTGCTGGGCCCAAGACTTGACTATTGTCCTTAAACAGGACACGCTGAAACACTTGTAAGCAGAGGAACTGCATAATGTTTATGTCGAAGAAATCAGACAGTTCCGGCAGCAGGATAGAAGAATAATGTAGGCGGGCCTCCATTTGTGGGAGGAGGATAGTCCGGGAGGCCCGCACCGGAGCGGAGGCTGGGGGCCCAGGAACAGAGCTCAGGGACGCAGCCTGGCCCGGGGTTCGAGAGGCGGCCGGCGTGGCGGGGGGTGCGGGCAGCACTGATAGGGCTTCCTGGGGACGGGACAGGCAGGGCGGGCGACGGGGAGAGCCGCGTTCCCGGAGCGCTTCAGCGCGGCCGAGGTGCTGGCGGGACGTCCGAGGCGGCGTCCTCCAGGCGGATTGCCAGGCGGAGGACCGATGACGGGCCCCGGGGAGGCAGCACGTAGGGCCCCAGGGCCGGCGAGATCGCCAAGAGAAGCGGTTGCGTCCCGGCCCAGAAGGCGGCGCTGTTGCCCGAGAGGGACTTGGACGTGGACTCGGGGGAGCACAGGACCGAGGGGAGGGGCAGGAGGCACGACAGCGAGGCAGCCTCCAAAGACAGAAGCACGTGCACCCCTGCCCTGGATTTTCAAAACCATTTAAGTAAAACAAAAATCAAGGGGGAAGCATTGCTCAGAGAGGGAAATGTTTGGCCGTATTAAAAGCCGCCTGGTAATCAAGTAGGTGCGGACTGAAGGTGGACGTCGGCTTCGGAACACGCGGCCACCAGCAGAGTCAGCAGGCGGGACGGGAGCTTTGACGGGGCGGAGTGGATGCTTCGCGAGACCAGACTGGGGGGCGAAGGAAGCCCAGGAGGGAGCCAGCAGGGCAGGGCCACGGAGGCGGCTCGGGCGAGGGTCGTTCCGGTTCCACGAGGGCTGTTTTCTGCCGTGATCAGTAGGTTCTTTTGTTATCTGGTCTCAAAGGTTGTTCAGAAGGTCCTTCTCGCGGGAGTATCAGAGCCGACTAGACCCTGTGGGGTTTTCTTGGTCCTTTGTTGTTTAACCAAAAATTTTTTGATCCATCTGGAATTTATTTTGATGTTGAATGCGAGGACTCCATACCAGTTTTTCCACTGAGGTAGCTAATTGCTCCAGTACTTGAACCCACTGATTTGACGCGTCACTTCTGTAATACCTCAAATCCGGCGAGTGTGAGCATCTGTTCTGTTGTGTCGCACCGGCTGTGAGTTTGAGGCCCGAGCCCTCTGCGGGCCCCCAGCAGCACGAGGCCTCAGCGTCCAGAGCTGCCCTCCCGGTGCCCTTTTTCAGAACGTACCTGATACTGGCAGTCCAGACATCCCTCCTCATTATTTTACTGGTATAGAGAACATTTCCTGAAGAGCCTTAGCATCACTTCTCAGCTTTTTTCCCCCTTAAATCCATTTGGGATTATTAACTAAACAAGCATTAGAATTGTAACTAATATTTTGGAGAAAAAATTTGATATGTTTCCAGACTTGAGGCTGCCTAATGAGAGTGGGGCACATCCTACCATTCCTTCACTCATCATCGTTTCTGTTTATTTTTTTAAAGCCATTTAGTAACAGTCTTAACATTTCTCAGTAATTTATTCCTAAATAGTCTGTGTTTTTGTTGTCATCATAAATAGTATCTTTTCTCTTCTGGACTTTTAACTGACATTTTTGCGGACATAGTCCAAATTTCCGGCCTCTCTTGGGTAACAAGGAGATCTGGCGGTATTGTGCCCCCCACCCCCCACCAGCAGGGTGGCTGTGAATGGCCCCTTCGTTAGGACGTACATGCAGATCACAGCCACTCCACACGTTTGTGTTTATTGCCCCTGCGGGTGGAGGAGTCCCTTCGGGTCAGGGGCCGCTGACCCTGTGACAGTGCCAGCCCTGGTCCTCGTCTGCCCGGCTTCCCTGGCCTCTGCACCTGCCAGATCTTTCCGGCCCTGTCTGCTCTCCTGCCACTCGCGGTGGCCTCTCAGACCGGACGCGCGTGCCGGCTCCTCCTGCCTAGCCAGCCCTCCACAGTCCCGCCCATCACTCCTGACTCCAGCAGCGACCCTGCAGAAGCTGGAAAATTCCCCTCGTCCATACTTCTAGGTCCATCCCTGTATATTTTACTTAAAGGTTTGCCAGGTAGGAGGAAAGGTTTTTTTAGATTTCTGGCCTCTTGATTTCTAGCCTCTACCTCCCTGTGGTGCCATTCACCCCGAGTCCCTGCTGCCCGATCTACAGCGACTCCACATAATTACGAGAAAAGAACTTTTAAGCCTCCCCTTGAATTCTGACTTACCGTGTACACAGAGACTACAACAGCTGCAAGATAAACTTCCTAAAGAAGGACTGTATTTTGACTTGTTGAGCTTGAGACGCCTTTATCACACACCTTTCTGTGATTTATAATAATGTCACAGACTCTGTGCATGGGCCACGCCTGTGTTCACGGCCAGGGACGCTTTTGCCCATTTGCCTGTTTTCAGCACATTTCCTCCAACATTCTCTAAGCTTAGCCTTCCCAAAAGTACATTCCTCATTTCTTTTTTACGTGTTAGGTACTTCACAATATTTTTTCTTTATTTTAATCCTTAATCATGAATCGTCTTCCAACATTCTATCATTTCAACACATAACGAGTAAGTTGAGAATGAATCATGTGCTTAGAGTGTCCCAAGCTTATTACCAGCAAATACTTTGGTTGATTAAAGGTTATAAAATATGCTACTCCTATTATGTGTATCCGTATCCATGTGAAAGAAACAGACCGTGGCTGGTCTTCCTCCCAGAGATTTCATATTTGTGTTTTGTCTGGATTCTCTCACTGTCAAACATTGCTGTTAACATTGATGACTTTCCTGTTTGGGGTCTAGTTTGCTGTTTGCCTTTTTCTTTACAAAAGTAAAGAAAAATATGTTGTCATTTCGTCCGTCCACCACCCTGTGATGTGTGTCCATTCCATTGACAGTCATTCAGTTTGGGTTCGTCACCTTGTTCGTGGCCTCTTTTCCGCTGGCCCCCCTGTTGGCCCTGGTGAACAATATTTTGGAAATAAGAGTGGACGCGTGGAAACTGACTACCCAGTATAGACGCATGGTGCCTGAAAAAGCCCAGGACATCGGAGCATGGCAGCCAATCATGCAAGGGATAGCGATCCTGGCGGTGGTGACGAATGTGAGTACCCCGGCCCCGCGGGCGGCGGCCCCAAGGCCCGGACGCATCAGCTCCGCCGGCTGAGGGGGCAGGTGCCTGCTGTGTTCTTAAATGGCAGGGTGCCAATACTATCATCCGTATAGACAACATAATTGTATAGTTGTAATTGTTATTTGTCAATGTATTTTAACTGTTTATAATTATTATTTGTGACTTACCAAGTCAAGTCCTCTTACCGAGGCAGCTGCCGAGATACAGATATGGTACCAGTCACAACAATACCTGTGGGGAAGTACTGACTCCTTGACCCTCATGGGCACCAGAAGCTGTCGGCTGGCCTTTTATAATGGATGTAGAAATCTCTCCACTTCGCCTTTAAGGACCCTAAAGTAGGAGCTCTCGTTCCACCACATTTTACTATATATTCCAGACTATCAACTTAAAATACGAGCTATTTGGTGACAAAGTAGCTGCATGTGGTGTTCCCACCGAGCGCTGCCGTCGTGTCTCCCGGGCAGACGTTCCTCAAGGAGGCAGGCTGGGGGCCGGTCCCGTCTCCCCCGACCCCGCTCCTCGGTCCTGCTGGCGCACACGTATTCACAGCCAGACACACCCAGTCCACACGGATCGATGGACAGTCCCTCCTTTTGCACGCAGGCCACAGGGAGCCCCCCGGCAGCGCAGCTCCCGTGCAGCCCAGCGGGGCCGCCTTCCCCAGGAATGCCCCACACCCAGGGCTGGTCCTCCAGTCTCGCTGCCTGTTTCACTCCCAGGTCACAGCCCCCAACAAAATGATATGTTTTAATTTCTAAACCCAGCCACACTTGCCCGGAGTCCCCAGAACAGGGTTCGGCAGTGCCCGTGGTCAGGCCCCTGCACGAGGGAAGCCGCTGGGCACCGGACTCCGGTCGGGCCTGCGCTCCGGCTCCCAACCCTGCAGCCTCCCAGCCGCACAGCCTCGGGCCAGGCCCCAACATCTCAGAGCTTCATCTCACTGTTTGGAAATCGAATAATTCCCCATCACATATTTTAAGAATATTATGTATCACAAAGGGCAGTTAAGGAATTCTGTAAGTTATTGCCTGGAATGCACAGGGCCAGGTCCTCACAGAATGCGAGCTGCTGCCATCCTTCCATGTTCATGATCCATCATTGCCAGTGACTCTGTGTAGACTTTGACGGGTGTCTAAACAAGGCACAAGAATTTTACAATGTGTATGTGTCATTGTCTGGACCATGGTTACAGTTTTATACAATAAAACATGTTACCTGGAACCCATCTGTCACCCACCAAGAATCCCCAACTTGCCTGAATCGTAGGCTATCCCTATTGTCAGGAGAAAGTTGCAGATGATACACACGAAGGAGCTGTATGTCATGTCTGCTTCCACCCACCCAAGGAGCTCAGCCCTTCAACATCCACTGTGCCGCGAAACTAAGTCTGATGCTCAGAAATATGGCACGGAGACCTTTCAAGCTCTCCAGTCCTGAAAGAATGAGTCTGTCACATTCAAGAAGCTAGACAACATGCAGCAAGGTGCGAACGTGGACTTGTGTGCTTTAGGAAGGTCTTAGCAGCAAGGTTTGAGACTAAAAGGGGTTTTGTTAGGCCTTCGGCTAACCAGAAATTCAAGTGACTCATGCTCCCCAGGCCCCCGGCATTCTGGCGATTGTGTCAGGCACCTTTCCCTGGCACACTGCATGGCTCCACTCCACGGGCACTGGTGGAGAATCACTGTGCTTCATAGGCAACCTGTGTGTGTGACTGAACCATGGAGAGTTCTTTTTCCATGGTGTCAGGATTTCTCACAGCAACCAAGATGCAGGTCCATGTATGTTTGTACACATGCATGTAAAAATTAAACAGGCCTGGCATGTGCCTCTGCAGTCTAACATGCACAGGAAGGACTGAGTCCATAATAGACCTTTTAACTGTAGGAAGAGATGAATGGCACCAGCAATGACAATGGACACCAGGCAGGAGTCTGGGATGAAATCATTCATTTCAAAGCTGCTGGTCCAGGACGCACACCACACCGATACTGCTGTGTCGTCCACAGCGGGTGCTGCTGAAGGCCGGTCTCCGTGTGTTTTGATGTACATGGAGAGCTGGGCTGGGAACAGCGTGGGGGAGGAGGCACACTGCATTTCTGCTCATGCAGCGTCTCAGCACAGCTCAGTCCAGGAGGGATGGTACCTTTCAGAAGGTGACAGAATTACCTTCCTTGGTGGAATTTTTGTGGCTTCCTGAAGAAAACCACAGGCAATTCCATAAAAAGCTGTAGTTACGTTAAATGATAACAGGAAATTTTGATCTATTGAAATCTGGAGAAAGTAACACATTCTTACCTCTTACCACCAACAGGCAGGCGGACATGTGTGTATGTTTGCATGCACACACACACACGCACACTTCACTTCAGATGAATGAGAAAGCTGGTCCTAGTGGGGGAAATTTTGCAGTATAAAGGACATGCAGTTTGTTTTGTTTTTTTGCTTTGCCTGAGCTCTTGTTTACCGGCTCATGGTCTCACTGTGTTTAAACCATATGTTCAGACGAATACTGTTAAAACTCATGTTGTACCAAAAACATGCCTGTTCTTCTGCTTCAGTAAATGACTGAATCATTTAGCTTTGCTTATTCACATAGAATTTGGATTAAAGTAGATTATCTACTTTCTCCTTCCTTCAAACCAGTCGTACACATTGGAGAGTTTAAAGCCCAGATGGAAGAATTTTAGAGAAAATTCATGTAATTTGTCATAGCTCTACATCCTAATAGATGTCTGCCTGACACACTCAGGTTTAAGATTGACCCATACTTATGTGTTTAATCTGGGGACACCCTAAACTTTCTTCATGTTACTTGATAATTTATTGTTCTCATGACTTTATCTGTTTAACCTTTGGGAATTGTAGAGGCTCAGACCCTATAGATCTAGCAAAGTAGACATCATGGCTTGATTGTATGAATAGAACAACCCTAATATAGTTTCTTGCTACCTACATTTTATTAAAATAAAAAAATTCTTCTCTTCAATGAAGCAACATACATAAGCATATACTGGAAGTTTAAAATAGAGTATGGTTTGACTTGTCTAAATAAGGCAAGATATTATAGGGAAAAAAGTATGAATTTGAAGGCTGTTATTTTGTGTAGATCAAGGCAAAAATTTTATGCACTTTACATTCTATTTTTAAAAGGCAAGTGATTTAAAAGTTTGTATTAATTATTTACAAAAGAATTATATAAATCCAAGTTATTTTCTTAATAGGGACCTTAGTATTACACATACCAAAGGGCCTTCTAGACCATAAAAGATTAAAATTACATCAAGTAGAGCCCCAAGGTTGATTGAATCTAGTTGTGCTCTGAATTTTTTAAATTATAATTTACACATAATATGCAGGCAGCTCTTTAGTTACCTACAATTTGCTAGTTATTCTAACTGTGCTCTGGAGATGTGATAGGCAACTATCAGGCCTCTGCTCTGGACCTGCCTGTGGGCGTCTGGACATTCCCTTAGAATCACAGACCAAAAGGAAAGTAACTACTAAAGCAGCTGCTCAAAGATTTTAGGACATTCTGTTTATCCAGTTGACAGGAAAGAATGAAGGTTTCTGAATAATTTAAAATCAAAACGTTGCAAACATGATTCCGCCCCATCTGTTAACCACACAGCTGTAAGGCTCTAAGCTAATGCCGCTCTTCCTGCTTTCCTCCCAACACAGGCCATGATCATTGCTTTCACATCGGACATGATCCCCCGCCTGGTGTACTACTGGTCCTTCTCTGTCCCTCCCTATGGGGACCACGCCAGCCCCACCATGGACGGATACATCAACAATACCCTTTCCTTCTTCAACGTCGCGGACTTCCGAGACAAGAGCAGGGGCAACCCATACTCTGGGCTTGGAAACCACACCACGTGCAGGCAAGTGTTCACTTCAAATGCACTTCCTCTTTTAAAGGAATTCTATTTGGTATCACTCAAAATTGCTAGAGAGATTTTAACTTTCTTTTCAGCCAAATTTTAAAAAGGATATGATACGGAAACTTCATGAAGACTAGGGCTAGAACTTTCAAATCAAACTGTGAAGCAAGATGTAAAGATGAGACTTGCTAATGATTACAGGGAGACTGACCCAGGAGAAAAGTCTTATATTTTAGAAATGAAGAAACTACAAGTTCTGAAAAGCTAACTAATTCTGTTATGACTGAATGTGTTATTCAAGCACAACCTGATGACACTGAATGGCAACACACCAGCTCCCCCACTTTTCCTAGCCTAACAGAATTCTCTGCAAATATCCCAGAGCTCTTGCATTGATTTTAGTGATTGGTAGGATCAACTGTGGGTGGTCTGCATCAACTAAATTACTGGTTGGTAAAGTGTGTTGACCTAGGTCACAGAGTTTGGGTATTTGGAGTTTTTTAATCAACCAGAGTCTTAAACCTAAAGGAGACTTTAACACTCCTTTAATTCAACTCAAAGCCTTCTCTGAGTCAAATTCTCAACAACACAACCAATAAACCAGAAATAGCCCCAAATAAATGTTTTAAAGTTGCAGAGTAGAGCCTCTTCAGAATCCCACATGGACCCCGCTTGCACTAAAGAGTAATTGAACTCTCGCGGGTCTAGTGGGTTACAGGCAGCAAGTCAGAGGTGTGCCACCTGAGGGAGGTACACGGAAGCAGCAGCGTGTGACACCTTGCACAGGAAATTAGCTAAGAAACTTACAGCAGGCAGGTTACTCTCTATAGGGACAGATAACCCGTAGCTGAGTGAACCCGGATGACACCATTATAGAAATAAATTAATAAACATGCTTCTGAAAATATGCTAGATTGTTTTAATTATACTCTTCTTATTTATTGAAATATACTTTATATACAATATTATATTGGCTTCAGGTGAACAACTTAGTGATTCATCAATTATCTACATCACTAAATGCTCACCATGATAAACATAGTTACCATCTGTCACCATCTGACACCATCTGACAAAGATATTACCATATCATGAGCTACATCCCCCATGCTGTATTTCTGACCCTGTGACTAATTTGAAGTTTATACCTTTCTGCCCTTCACCTGTTGCACCTGTCTCCACACCCCACTGGTTACCCCATAGCAACCGATCGTCTGTGCTCTGTGTTTATGAGTTTTATTTCTCTTTTGTTTGTTTGTTCACTTGATTTGTTTTCAGGTTCAACATGCACATGAAACCATATGGCATACGTCTTTCTCTGATTGGCTTATTTCATTGAGCATCATACCCCCAGGTCCATCCATGCTGTCACAAATGGCAAAATTTTCTTTCCTTTTTTATGGCTGAGTAATATTCCATTGTATGTGTGTACTGTATCTTCTTTATCCATTCATCCACTCATGGGCACTTTGGTTGCTTCCATGTCTTGGCTACTGTAAATAATGCTGCAGTAAATATATGCGTACATATATCTTTTCAAAATAATTGTTTAATTTTGATACTAGCCATTCTGACTGGTGTGAGGTGATATCTCACTGTTTTGATTTGCATTTCCCTGACGATTAGTGATGTCAAGCATCTTTTCAGGTGCCTGTTGGCATCTGTATATCTTTTAAATCTGATTGCCTTTTTGGTGTTAGAGTTGTATGAGTTCTCCATATAGTTTGGGTATTAGCCCTTATCAGGTAGATTATTGGCAAACATATTCTCCCATACAGCCCATTGCCTTTTCATTTTACTGATGGCTTCCTTTGCTGTGCAGCTTTTTAATCTGATGTCATCCCATTTGTTTATTTTTGCTCTTGCCTGGGGAGACATATCCAGAAAAAATTTTTTGATGTTGATATTCAATTGTTTATTGCCTATGTTTTCTTCTAGTAGTTTAATGGTTTTAGGTCTTATATTTAGGTCTTTCATCCATTTTAAGTTTATTTTTATGTATGGTATAAGACATCTAATTTCATTCTTTTGCACAAAGCTGTCCAGTTTTCCCAACATTTATTGAAGAGACTTTATTTTCTACATTTTTATATTCTTGCCTCCTTTATCATAAATTGGCCATGTATTTGTGGGTTTATTTCTGGGCTCTCTATTCTGTTCTATTGGCCTATGTATCTGTTCTTTTTCTGGTACTGTATTGTTTTGATTACTGTTGCTTTGTAGGGCAGTTTGAAATCAGGGATTGAGATGCCTCCAGCTTTGTTCCTCTTTCTCAGCACTGCTTTGCCTATTCAGGGGCTTTTGTGGTTCCTTACAAATTTTAGGATTATTTGCTCTAGTTCAGTGAAAAAAATACCATTTGTTGGTATTTTGATAGGGATTGAACTGAATCTGTACATTCCTTTGGGCAATGTGGCCATTTTAACTAGTCTTCCTATCCATGAGCATGGGATAGATTTCCATTTATTTATGTCATCTTCAGTTTCATTCATCAATGCCTTATAGTTTTGAAAGCATAGTTCTGTCACCTCCTTGGATAGATTTATTTCTAGGTATTTTATTCTTTTTGATGTAATTGTAAATGGAATTGTTTTCTTAATTTCTCTTTCCACTAGTTAATTATTTCATGTATAAAAATGCAACAGATTTCTGTACATTGGTTTTGTATCCTGAAAGTTTGCTGAATTCATTTATTCAGTAAGGTATTTTTGTGGGGTCTTTAGGATTTACTATATATAGTATCATGTCATCTGTAAATAGTGACAATTTTACTTCTCTGTCGATGTGGAAGCCTTTTATTTCTTTTTCTTGTCTGATTGCTGTGGCTAGAACTTCTAGGACTATGTCAAACAAAAGTGGTGCAAGAGAGCGTCCTTGTTTTTAGTCTTAGAGGAAAAAGTTTTAGCTTTTTGCTATTGAGTATATTAGCTGTGGATGTATCATATATGGCCTGAATTAAATTGACATATCTTCCTTCTATACCCACTTTGTTACGAGTTTTTATGAATGGATGTTGAACTTTGTCAAATGCTTTTTCTGGATCTATTGAGATGAGCATATAGTTTTTATCCTTGTTTTTGTTAATGTGGTGTATCACACTGATTAACCTGTGGATATTGAACCATCCTTGCAACCCTGGGATAAATGAATGATCTTTTTTAATGTATTTTTGAATTCAGTTTGCTAATATTTTATTGGGAATCTTTACAGCTCTGCTCCTCCTGGATGTTGGTCTTTCATTTTCTCTTTCTGTAGCATCCTTGTCTGGTTTTGCACCAGGGTGATTTGCCTCTTAGAATGAATTAGAAAACTTTCCTTCCTCTTCAGTTCTTTGGAATCATTTGAGTAGGAGAGGCATCAACTCTTCTTTAAGTGTTTGGTAGGATTCATCTGTGAAGCCATCTGGTCCTGGACTTTTGTTTTTGGGGAGTTTTTGATTACCAGTTCAGTTTTATTATCAGAATGAGTCACAGGTGGCTTGGTGTCAGGGCTCTCAGAGCATGGTTGGAGGGAGCAGGTCGGGGGGCCAGTTGGAGGTGCTCCTGAGTGGACACTGATGGGGTCCACACAGGTGAGGAGGCAGCTGCCCAGGTGCTGTCTCCAGGGAAGTCCTGGCTCCATGCCCACGGTGCAGCTGCTGGCAGGGCTCAGCTCGGCTCCAGGGACAGACCTGCCCCTGCAGCTGGCTCCGCGTCTGTGGGAGCAGCAGTTGGTCTAGCAGCGAGGGCTGGCTGGAGGGAAGCGCCTCCTCTGCAGCCTCTGCACAGGTGCCCCTGCAGCAGTGGTGGCCAGCGTGTCCTCTCCGGAGGTCGGTGGCAACTGGATCCACACCTCAGGGCAGCTGCGCCCAAATGTGCTCTCTGACTGGCATGTTGAGTGTGGGCAGGGGCAGGAACTGGTATTTGTGCCTCAACACCCGCATCACTATCAATGTGAGGAAGGAGTGCAAACAGCGGTGCTCGCCGGACCTGACCCGGAGCTCCAGCCGCTCCCCCACCACAGGGTGGGTGCATTAGTTCTACAAACCAGATTTTTTCACTTAAAGTCTAGCCACACTTGAAAGCACGGTGTTTTTCCTGCACCCTGGGGCAGGGAGTCTGCATCCCGGGGCCCTCAGAAATACCCCTCCCCACCCCACTGTGTATTATGCCAGGGGTGGGGCCCCCCATATGATGTCTCTCTCTCCTGATAACCCTTTGTGTTTTCCCAGGTATCGTGATTTCCGGTACCCTCCTGGACACCCACAAGAGTATAAACACAACATCTACTACTGGCATGTGATTGCAGCTAAACTGGCTTTTATCATTGTCATGGAGGTAGGTACAGTGTGCTCTGAAATAGCTTATAAGGCGTTGGATATTCGCAGACCTCTTATGGCTCTAAGTGTCATCAACTCTGACCTAAAATGTATAATACATTCTTATCTCTTGCTAGTAATTATATTAGGACATTTATTAATCAAATTTGAGAATACCCAAATGTTCTCATTAGTTAAAAGAAGTTGGTTATGTACTTTGAAAGTTTCAATGCATGTTGTGTGCTAGGAAAATTCAGTTCCTTTCAATTTGGTGTTAATCGCTCTTTTATTTGGAGCTCCGGGCTGCATGTCAAGCTGTAAAAGGGCTCAGTCGAGATGAAGCAGAGGCAGTCTCTGTCCTTGAGAGACTTTTATTCCTATTTTTACTTCATTTTCACAATATACCTTCTTATAATAATTTTTTATACCCCTAAAATTAACCAGCTCTGGAAAATGACTAAGGTGGCTATAAATCTGAAACTGATGTAGCCAACATTACCTCTTACACTGTGCGAATTATCACTACCACGTTCCAGAGCCTCCAAAGTTGCTTGGTCGATGTGGTCAGTTAGAATTCTAGAAAACCCATCTCCAGGGGCTCAAACACTAAGGGCTGATTTTCCTCACATAACAAAGGCCACGTGAAGCAGGCGGTTCTCTCGAGTCAGCTGCTGATGTCAGGACTGTAGGCCTGGCTCCCTAGGTTCACTCTCACTGCCTTTCACCTGACAGTCTCAGTGTGACGGCCACCACCAGGTAAGATGTTTATGCTCCAGGCAGGAAGAAGGTGAAGGGCAGTTCTAGCTACACCTGGTCCTTTTGTCCAGAAAGAAAATGCTTAGCCAAAAGCAGACTTCCACCCTGAGCTTACTGGCCACTCCAGCAGCACGCAGCTCCTCGTGGCCACAGAGCCAAGGCAGGAGGTATTTGCTTGGCTCTTGAATTTGAGAGTTTGAATGATCAGATCAGGAATATAAATTAACTGTATATTGAAAACATTTAAATAAATGACAGTCAAAAAAGAGCAAGTGATAAGAAACTAAAAAATTACAAGGCAATTTTTTTAAAATAACCAGAACTTTTAGAAACAAATATAGAGTTGTTGAAATTAAAAACATGTGGATTAAATAGAAATCTATGCAAACCTAAAGAATTAGTGAATTAGAAGATAGGTCTGAAAAAGTTAGCCCTAATATACACTGGGAGATAAGGGAATGGAAAATTTGAAAAGAGGTTTTAAGCCCTGTAGAAGATGGAATGAGAAGGACTAACTTTCAAAAAAATCATAGAAGAAAAAACATGCATAATGGAGAAGAGTCAACCTTTGAAGAGTTAATAGCTAATATTTTTCCAGAATAAATGAAAGGTATCAGTTCACAAAGCAGACAGCACAAGAGATACCAAGGAAATCCACGCTTCACGTTCATTGTAAGGAAAACACAGCACATCAAAGACAAGATCTCGGAAATGACCAGAGAGAAGACACAGGCGACTGACACGATTAAAATGAGAATGAGAGTAGACTTTTCAGCAGCAACATAGAGGCCAGATGAGAAAAGTCTAGTATTGTCAAAATGCTAAAGAAGGTGATTCCATACAATTAGAGCAAAACTTTGAGAAAAATCTTTCCACAATGAAAACACCAGGCCATATGGTTTTATAGGAGAATTCTCCCAGAACAGATCACTTCAGTCTTACACAAAACTCCTCCAGGGAGCAGAAAACGGAAATATTTCCAACTCCTTCTAGATCCCGAAATCAGACAAGAATCGAAAGAGAAAGGAAATGGTGAGCCAGCCTCACGCATAACGTGCAAATGCAAAGATCTTTTCAAAATGTGCTGAGGTCTGAGTCGAGAAATACGTTCTCTGAGGTGACCTCACGGCACACCGGCCTTGCCACAGAAACGTAAGGGGCGGCGGGACGTAGGGAACCCACCCAGGAACCCACCCACCCCTCTTTCCCGGACGCCCGCTTGGCCCCCTTCCCCGTGACCACCGCCGTCCGACGCCCGGCTCAGCTGGTCCCTGTCCTCGCCTGTTCCCCCTCGGCTCCCGGGAAAGCGCGCCTCCCACTGCTTTTCCTGCCGCCGCCCCAGACAGTCCCTTCTCACTTGCCCCTCCTTGGCTCCGTGATGACCCTGGGGGTCCGTTCCCGGGCTGTCGTCTTTTCTCTGTCCCCACAGCCTGGTGACCTCGTGCAGCCCACTGGCTTAACTGCCGTCGTGTGCCGGTGACTCCCAGAGGGTCCCCAGAACACCCCTCTGTGGAACGCAACCCAGGAATCCAGGGTCTGCCTGAGCTTTCTGCCTGCATAGCTAACATACGTCTCCCATTCCCGTATTTCCTCAAATGCCCTGTTCTCCCCACTCTGCCCTACATCTGCTCCATCCAGTCCCCTACGTCCTCACAGTTTTGGCAGTCCCGCCTCACCGGTTGCCAGGACTCGTGGGGTCCTCGTTTTCTCTCCCCCACTTACCGCACACCCGGCTCTGTTGGCTTCTCTTTGGAAGATGCTGTGTGTCACAAGTCTGACCGCCGCTTAGCCGGCTCTGCTGCCACCCCCCAGGTGGGAACCGTCACCCCGTTTTGCCTGAACAGGGCAACAGCCTCTTAACGGGGCTCCCTGTTGTCTTCATCTCCGACTCAGAAGAAAAGCCGAGGTCCTTATGGTGACTTGCAGGACCTTCCGCTGTGTAGCCACGCGGTCACCATGCTCACGCCCCTTCTCTCCCCGCGCCCTTCACCCCAGCCTCACCGTCCGGCCTACGCCCTCGGTCTGCCCCCATCCGGCCTCCACACCGGCCATTCCCTAACCCCCTCATGCCCTCTGCTCAATGAGTCATATCCAGACTGTATTAAAACCTTACAAAATCCACCTCCGTCCATACAATCCCAGTAACTCTTATCTGTTTACTGTTTTCCCATAGCTTTATCACTTTTAAACACCAGGTATGATTCATTGGTTTTTAATCATATTCATTGCAAATTACCTCTGTCTCCTTGCTAGGTCAGGGATTTTTTTGAATGGTAAATAAATAAAAGTTCCCAACCTCATGAGTCCTCAGAAATACAAAGTAAGACCAAAATGAAGCTCTATTTCACAATCACTGTGTTGGTTTAAAAAACTGCCTGATGGTAGCAAGAGCTGGCATGGATGCAGAGGAACTGAAACCATCCCACACCGCTGGTGGGAGCGTGAGCTGGTATAACCGCTTTGGAAAATGCTTGATACAGTCTTGTCAGATTGAGTGTTCAGGTGGCAGAGGGTCTGGGCAGTCACACACCCGCACATTCTCCTGAGAAGCTCTCACAGGCGGACTTCCAGATCCAGGCACAAGACCGTCCCCAACATCACTGCTTCCAACACAAAAACTACAAACAAGCCTAGAACCTTCTGCTGGAGGAATGAATAAATTACAGTGTATTCAGACAGTAGAATGTCATGCAGCACTGAACACAAATGGATGGCAGTTATGCACAATAACATGGATGAATCTTAAAACCTGGTTTTGAATGAAAAAAGCAATTTTCAAAACACTATGCAGTATCATACTGGCTTTATAAAGCTCAAATCAAGCAGAACTTAAATAATACATCTTGGGATATATACATGTTTTGTTCAACTATTTTCAAAAATAAACTGATGATGGATGTGTAACTCGCACAGAGGGTGGTGCTTACCTGTGAATAGACAAGGCACGCTCAGTACGTCAGCGTCATGATGAGTACCTGACACTTGGATATATTCTTTCCACATTTCAGATAGAAGTCTTCAAATTTATAAAGTAACAAAATGTAGCCCCTTGGCAGAGCCACATCACGGCAGGAAGGGGGGGTGTGACTGTCAAATGCCCACCACCCCGTCTGGCTGTGTGGCCCCGGTGACCGCACACGTGCCCGCGAGGGGCTCTATCCGCTCCACTTCCTTGTGACTAACGTTTCTCTTCTTCTCTCCCTCAGCATGTCATCTACTCTGTGAAATTTTTCATTTCATATGCAATTCCGGACGTATCGAAAAGCACGAAGAGCAAGATCAAGAGAGAAAAATACCTGACCCAGAAGCTGCTTCATGAGAATCACCTCAAAGATATGACAAAAAATATGGGGGCCATCGCCGAGAGGATGGCGGAAGTAGCAGATAACAATTTAAGACCGAAAGTAGATTAAGCGCTTCACGTTCTGAGAAGCATGTCAAAGGACCGAGCTCTGTCAAAATACATTATGGATCACTAATGAGAAGGTTTAAGTTAAATCACTTAGGCAAACATACATCTTAACTATTGCCATTTTTGTGTAGAAATTACTTTACAGTTTCAGCTGGCGAAGCAGGAACTGGAAAATGTAAAGCTGAGATCAGGAAGGGCATGAAGGTGATCGATCACCCGGAAAGCCTACGATGTTCCCTGTTTTTGATAAATTGGCATTTCAGGAGAGTCTCCGCACATGCTGAAAAACCACGCCTTCTAAAGCAGAATCAATTCTTCCCCTTCATTTGATTACTTTCATCCCTTGTTCTCAAGCACATGATCCCCTCTATTTTTATTTCTTCACTTCGCTGCACCTGTTCCAGTTGCTCTCCCCTTACGGCGCCACCACAGAGACCAGACACACTGGTGTTCGTGTGATGGGAGAGTTAGCTCAAAACTCAGAGCGCTGTATTAAGTGGCAAAGAGACTCAAGAATTCACAGTATTTAGGTGTATTACCACATGCTGCAGAAAAGGAGCCTCAGGTAATGAGAGGAAACAGCTTCAGTCTCTGCTCTGGCCTACCCGTCCACCTCACAGAAGGCCTCCGAAGGGACCGGCCTCATGATAGTGAGGTTCCGAAGCATGTTTGTACTGATCCACAGTGACACCTTTTTCCTCCCACAGCGTTTCTAGAATGTTCTGTGCCTAATCCACGTTGACTGCTCTGCAAAGCTCAAGGGAATAAGATGACAAAAGTGGGAAAGTCACAGATTCAAATAGAATTGTAGCTCATATTGATCAGGATGATTTATTTACCTCTTCTAAAGATCTGTACTTTCTTGGGGAAAAAAAATGAAATCAAGTGATTAGAATTGCATTTTTATCAACATAGTGGTCTGCAGAGATAAGCCCATTAACTTCCCACCAGTTGCGCTTTATCCATTAGGCACAGGAGGGACAGCATCACAAATGACCGCAAGTGGCTCGCTGCACAGCCGCTGTGACCTGACAGTGCCAACGCCCAGACTTTGGCCGCTGTGCTTCCTGCAGGTGGAGCCCTTTGGGCAGGTTCTTCATGCCTCGGCGATCCGAGTACCAGAGCCTCTGCCTGTTAAGGTGCTCCCAGAGGCCTCCACCCATCATTCCCAGCCCGTGACTTGTTTATGATGGCGTGTTTGCACAAGCGTGGGGGAGCTGGTAAGGCTGGGGAGAGACCGGTGTAGCCCCAGATCATTGCCAATCAAGAAGACGCTGGATTTGATTTGAGCTTCCAGCCTCCCTAAGGCCAATCAAGCAATGAAGAAAAGAAAACGGTTTGGTCACAAACCTGCCATCAGATGGAGGCACCTTCCTGCCAAATGCCACACCTCGAATATCTTGCCCTCAGTCTGTTCAGCTCAGAATTTCCTGCCTCTGGGGCCAGGCCCTTTCGTAGATGCAGGAGAAGGTGGGGGGCCGTTGCTCACAAGCTCGACTGGCTACGGGCTGTGCTCGGAGCAGGACAGGGGCCTCCGTGGGCTTCTTGGCAGGGGGCCGTGCCCCCCCCTCAGGATGCTGCCCAGTGCCAGGCGCCAGGCCACTCAGGAGCCCAGCAGCAGAGGAGGAGGACGCAGGTCCCAGTGGGTGGATTTGGAGGCTTGTTACGGCAGAGCAGCTCAACTCCAGGTCACAGTGCAGGCACGCCATGAACCTTTAAAAAAACCAACCAAAAATGCTATTTATGTAGGATCCACCAAAGAGTATTCTAGGCTTTTGAATTGTCCCAGTGGATCAGGGACAACATGTCACTAACTTTCTTGATGTTAACAATGTAATCAGAATGTGCACGCCAGGCTGTGTGAGGTCTGACTGCACAGGGAGTGGGAAATAAACGTCCCCCGGGGGGAACCGGCTCTCACTCCGCACAGCCGGATGTGGGCCCGGCAGCTCCCTGCAGTGCCATCCCGCGGAGTGGCTGCCTCCTCTCCTGTCGCCTCTCCTCTCCTCTCAAGGGCATGTCTGTCTCCTGGTGTTGGGCTGGCAGCGACTCACCGTGGAAGCCTAAGAAAGGAAATGTTTTTGCCTTATCTCCTTGTATATAGGATAGAACTTAAAGGGAATTGTGCATTTTTATAAATCACGTTTCATAAATTGTCTTCAAAGTCCTAGTTTAAAATGTGCTTTTGTGGACAGGAGGGAAAAAGCCTCTCATCATTAAAGGCAGCAAATGTGACGTATGACTGGCCAACAGTTCCCCAGCAGCTAAGTCGTAGTGGGGACTCAGGGCCGCCCGTGACACCAACAGTGCTCGTGGAGAGCCAGCGCTGACTTACCGGTGGTGAAGAACGTGGGTCTGTGTCTGCAGGCAGCCATGGGCTGGATCTGTAAGTGTGAGTGGAGGCAGCGCCTGAAGAACGGACAGCTGGGGCACGGCCCCCACAAAGGGAAACTCCGGCCCCGGCCTGCCCTCTGTAACCACTACAGAAATTGCAGTTTTATATCTTTTTGTAACGCCTGTGAACTTTAATGGATTGAAGCATTAGATCAAAATACTCAGGGGATTTTTCTTTAAATATCCCTCAGTTATTTTAGCTATAGCAACAGAAAGGGAAAGCTATCATTTCTGTTTGAAAACTAAACACGGCCATTTGTAAGCTGTCACCACAAATCTTCCTTTCTAATTGCATGTGCATCTGGAATTTCAGAAAACATTAATTCACAGTAGGGGGGCAGAATGTGCTTTGTGGTTGGAACACTTCTTGTACCATTTTCTCATGTTTGAATCAGGTGATGTTTGGAAAGTTAAAATGGATGAGCAGCTTAACTAAAGTAGAACTGAAATATTCATGATGCTTTTCATACACTGTGGCATAAGATGTAAAGTCTGTAATGTTTTGTGAATTTCTGTGCATTTTAATATTCTTTTATAATTAATTGTGAGCATTTTAATAAATTCATTTTTAAAAATAAATCTACTCTATTGTCTCTTTAAGAAAGAACAAATATATATCTGTTATTGATGTGCTATGTGTCACTCAGATAACATGCACACTTCTATGGAATTTATATCTAAAATTTTTTTCACATCCTTCACTTACTTTGAAACATGTTTTTTCTGGGAAAAATTGGGTATGGGATTTCAGCTTACCATCGTATGCCATGTTGCATATTTGATTACATTTGACTACTACACAGAGCTTTGCATTTACTATAAACACAATAATTTCTTTTTTGCCAAACTTGATTAAGTGCAACCAACATGGCCATAAACCAGGTAGATCTGTTTGGCAGTCACTGAGGGATTGATCAATAGAGGCTGGCGCCATGGGTCCTCAACTCACATTCAGATGTCTTTTATCAGAAAAAGAAAATGTATAACTTCAGCTGCCCTCAGTCTGATACAAAGGATTCTGGCCTAAAATTGATACACATCAGGTCACAGAACCTCAGATAGGCTGCAGATAACTTCATTAAAACCTCAATTTGTTAACACAGACCAGCATTAGGACTTGAAAGAATAATCCCATTATTTCCCGGCGAGCTTTTGGGGAGATCTGTCTGACGGAAAGAATAAAAAGTTTCATATGGTCTTAAAGATTTTATTTATGTAAAATAACTGATTTGGAGTTTCTATCAGGTAGGTCTGAGGAGATAACTATGATCTACAGATCTAGCCTCCAGCCATGTCTGTGTCTATGATGAAATCCCATTAGGTTGACTGATGGAGAGAAATTAGGGAAATAACACTCACACACAGCATTGTGCAAAGACAATGAGACAAAAGAATAAACTGTAAATACAATTTGATTTTTGCCCACAACCTGTCTCATCGACCAAGATTGCTTTACTAAACACAAAAGTTAGATTTATACATTAATTTTCTAAAAGATATGCCTCTAAATGACGAATCGGCTACCTTTTAACATCACCCTGCTTTATCTAAGAGCTCCTGTCACATCCATTTCATTTCGTTTCAAAAGTCCAGCCTCTATCTTCCTTTTTGTTTTCATATGGTCTTCTGTTTTGATGTAAAAGATTAAATGCCATACTTAGTTTAAAATCAATATTTTCTGAGGCTGTGGTAAGACAGATCTGGAGCTGGACATATAGTACAGTATTTAACAATAGAGCATCATTCTAAACATGCATCTTCAAAAATAATTTATCCTAACCTTGGCTGTAATAACAGTTTTGTTAGCATCTGTGAATATTACATGTCAAAGCCCATCAATTTTATTAGCCAAGCCAGGACAGAATGTTATTGAAGAAATGATGAAGATATTTATAATAATTGTAACTGGTAGAAATGGTAGAGCTCCGATTCAGTTTGATCCTCATGTAATCAAAGTCGGAAGCCTTTGGGTAGTCCCGTCTGTTGTCCTGGCATTGAGGGTAACTGGACATTGTCTGGTGTCTTTTGTACTGATCTCAGAAGTAAGGTAGATCCGGAAACACAAGTACAGGTCAGCAGCAATCAGCAGCTTTTAAAAATTCTGTCAAGTAGCCTGGCTTCAAAGCAAAGTGCCAGCCTAGTTCATAGACATCATCACATTCTACTCCATAAACCTACGCAGATAAAAACATCTACTCTGGGTATTAAAATTATTTATCTACATATTCCCAGGCCCTCAGAGAAAACCAGAAAGATCTTCGGGATAATTGCTCTGGAAGGAAATGCAGCCTTACCTTGACGCCTTTCCAAGAATCCATGGGAAACTCCCGTGTGTTTGCTAAGCCCCTGCCCGGGCCCGCCAGAACGCCGTCTGGTAAGTGTGGTGTCCAGGAGGTCTGTGTCTGAGGTCCATGAATCCCGAGTCACATTCCCTGACCCCACACGGAGGCGGGCACGACTGGAGGATGTCATTTCTCTGACCTTTTGAGTCAGTTAAGATTTTCTAGGTGTGCTTTTCCAGAAGTTCCTCATTTTCCAGAAGCTCAGCTCCTTCCACCAAGATCCTCACAAGAGAAAAGGCCTTCCCCCTCTATCCTGGGCTGCCACTGCTAAATGGCCATTTGTCCTAAAGATCTCGCCCTCTTCCAGCCCAGTACCCAATCCCTCACACTCCCCTCCTGGGCTGGCTGCCCCCCCACCTTCCAGGGGGTCTTCAGTCGGGTCGGGAAGGAAGACTGCTGGGCCAGGGCTTCCCAATCCTCAGGGTGCACCCCCATCACCGGGGAGCCAGGGCCTCTCCGGGGAGGTCCGGTGCTGGGGCCGGGAACACACATTTCCATCCAGCTCAGAGCCGCCTGCGGGCGAAGGGCATCAGAGAGCCAAGCTTCTCCTGGCGGAGCCCTCGGGTGCACCTCTCCGCTGCAGGGCAGCCGCTCACCCCCGCGGTGCGCACCCCTCCCAGGCGGACGGGGAACCTGCCGCGTGCTGCCCCCGCTCCCCGTCCGACCCAGTACTCGCTGCGCCGCCCTGAGAATGGGAGCCGCGTCCCCGTTCTTGAGCGTCGGGCACTTGACTCGTTCCTTAAGCCCCAGGCGGGCTCCGGTAGCACGTCCGCCGTCGGGTAGGTCCTGGGATGGGGCGGTGGGCACGCGTCCTTGCCTGCAGCCAGACTCTCCGCGGCCACCGAGCTCCCACCCCTGCCCCCGCCGCAGGGAGGGTCGGGGCGTTCGCGGACCCGCAGGATTCCTCGCGGGGTTCGGAGGCGGGCCCTTGGGGCGCTTAGGCCACAAGGCAGCCCTTTAAAGAGACCCCCAGGGCTCCCCACCCGCCTCTCCGCGAGCATGCAGGGGGCCCGAGACGCGAAGGCGGCCTCACCGCACCCTGCTGCCGCCCGACCGCGGGCTCCCCGCCCCTGCGGCTGGGAGAGACACGTTTCTGTTGCTGGAAAGCCACCCAGTCCGTGGTGTTTTGTTTCCCTATCATTAAATTCAGAATATGCTTTAAAAGTACCCTAAATATGACCTGGACCTGTCCTTCACACGAATGACTGTAACCCACTCATGTGTGTGTGTTTATGTGTCTGAAAACTCACTTCTAATGTGTGTGTCTACTTTTTTTTTCATTTTATTATCATTAATCTACAATTACATGAAGAACATTATGGTTACTAGACTCCCCCCTTCATCAAGTCCTTCCCCACAAACCCAATTACAGTCACTGTCCATCAGCATAGTAAGATGCTGTAGACTCACTACTTGTCTGCTCTGTGTTGCACAGCCCCCCCCATTATACATGCTAATCGTAAGGCCCCCTTTCTCCCCCACCCCCCACTTATCCCTCCCATCCCACCCATCTGCGTCCCTTTCCGTTTGGTAACCATTAGTCCATTCTTGGGTTCTGTGCTTCTGCTGCTGTTTTGTTCCTTCAGTTTTTCCTTTGTTCTTATGCTCCACAAATGAGGGAAATCATTTGGTACTTGTCTTTCTCTGCCTGGCTGATTTCACTGAGCATAATACCCTCTAGCTCCATCCATGTTGTTGCAAATGGTAGGATTCATTTTCTTCTCATGGCTGAATAATATTCCATTGTGTATATGTACCACATCTTCTTTATCCATTCATCTACCAATGGACATTTAGGTTGCTTCCATTTCTTGGCTATTGTAAATAGTGCTGCGATAAACACAGGGGTGCATCTGTCTTTTTCAAACTGGGCTGCTGCATTCTTAGGGTAAATTCCTAGAAGTGGAATTCCTGGGTCAAATGGTATTTCTATTTTGAGCATTCTGAGGAACCTCCATACTGCTTTCCACAATGGTTGAACTAGTTTACATTCCCACCAGCCGTGTAGGAGGGCTCCCCTTTCTCTGCAACCTTGCCAACATTTGTTGTTGCCTTTTGGATGGTGGCCATCCTGACTGGTGTGAGGTGGTATCTCTTTGCGGCTTTAATTTGCATTTCTCTGATGTGTGTGTGTCTCCTTTTTAATGCGCCTATTACGTGCTAGTTTCTATCCCCCGCGCCAAAGGCACAATGGGAAATAATCTAATTCCCAGTGTCAAGCGTTCAGCTTTTCCTTGCTACGTAAGAATAGTATAAGCCCACTAACTTCAGGGAAGTTTTGTCCCATAGAGTCCGAGCTGCAGATTTGTGTGCTTCTTGATTATTTACACATTTTCTTCCTGATTCATATTTTGGTTCCACGTCCTCATTGTGGAACTAAATTATTCTAATTAAGGTGCCTGATTATTCTGACTTACGCCGGCTGTATTTCAGAGTGACTCTAGAAGTGGAAGACACAGCACCGGCCCCGAACTAGCTGCTAAGGAAGCGTCACGCCCATGCGATTTTTCTCATAAGGACCTGCAAGTATCACCCACCAAGGTCCCAGAAGTATGGTCACTGCCCAGGGACGTCTGTGAGCTCCCACCACATGCCGCCCCCTGGATCTTAGGGACCAAGCAGCCCAGTAACCTTCTTTCTTTTGCCACAAAGAAGAAGAGAAATGCCTGACAATTTTGTAAGAAGTTTTTTTAATTTTAAAAGAATAAAGCCTCAGAATTATATTTAAGCTTCACAAAGAGGTGATGCACAGATATGTCATCACGCTGTGCTCACTGGGAATGGTGCCAGGCATTTGGGTTCCAGAAAAGGGCTCTCTGTGTTGATGAGGCTGTAAAAGACCCTCCTTATAGTCAGAGCCAATATAAAATTAATGTAATTGTTTGTATCATATATTTCAAGAACATAAAGTCAGAGCCCTTATATTACTTGCAAAGGCCAGGTAAGTAATGTAAGCAAGAGACAAAGGCCAGCAGGGACGCTGGCCTGCCAGACAGATCATCCCCGTGCAAGGGCTCCACTCAGCTCCGCAGGGCTGCGCAGGAGCCAGGGGCGACACTCTGAGGGGGTCCCACTTAACGAGTATTCTGCGAATCAAATACCTCAGCCACCTGATCATCCAGTGGAGCATCTGATCGGGTCTGTCACACCGATTCGCTGCTCCACTGACCACATGTTTGTACTGCTTCGTCTATGCAACAGAAATAAGCCCTTGAGAGGAAGAAATGGAGAAACGGG